GCTGCCGCCGCCGCCGCCGCCGTCGTCGTCGTCGTCGTCGTCGTCGCCGCCGTCGTGTCGACGTCGTCGTCGTTGTCGCTGTCGTCGCCGCGTATCCGTGTGCGGTGCGAACACCGTAAGCAGAACACGATAAAACCGCAAAACACCGATCGTCCGCTGCTGCTTCTGCTGCCCAAACGATATTACAACATCGACCGCTGATCGTTACCGTTGCCGTTCCGCCGCGTCGTCATCGCGTCGTTCGCGATCGCCGGTGCCGCGCCAAAACCGTCCGCGTCGCATAAGTGGTTCGCCGTCACGCGTACGTCCACCGCAACAGACCGCACGCTTTCACGGCCCGGCCGGTCCAGTGCGGCCGCGACGCGACCGCCGGCGTCACAGTAGCGCGCGTTCCGTACGTCTTGGTGCAACGCGCCCGTTGAACGCACCACCACCGCCGCCCGTCACCATCTAACCTGCGACACAGGATCGCACCAGCCTGCGCCATCGCGGTCATGTTAGCGTCGCGGCCGCAGAGTCGTCGTCCCGAACATGATGATGGTATGGCCGAGCGCGACACGTCCATGGGCTGACCATGATCGCTGTGCCGGCGCACGGGACGACGCACATTGCACCGTCGTTGTGCCGGGTGGTGGCGCTTCTTAGTGCCGTGTGCTGGTGTTGGGTATTGAGAATGGCCGCCGAGATGCCGGACCTGTCGCACCTGACGCCCGAGGAACGGGAGATCATCGAGTCCGTGGTGCACAGGCAGAAACAGGAGGAACAGAAGGAACAGGAAATCATGAGGTTGGTATGACTGGTCGACGTGTGACGACGGCATGTACCTTGCATATTATTATAATAGTTATAATAATAATAATAATAATAATAGTAGTTATAATAACAATATTAGTAACAATAATACGGAGTTGTGGTGCGTCGCCACCGCTACCACCGTGTCTACCTATATCGCTGCCGTCGCCGCCGCCGCCGCCGCCGCCGCCGCCGTCATCGTCATCGTTGTGCGACGGCGGTGGCAGCGGTGGCGGGGTTGAACTTTTGAACTTTACCGCGTTAGCCGACCGCGCAATACGATACGTGCGCGTCCGCCAAACGAGCGATTATTATCGCCGTACGGTCGCTATCGCGGGGCATTGAAGTCGTCGGCACGAGAGGAGACGCTCGGATTTTTGATGACAGTGACGCGCCCCGGCGACGTAGCCCCTCTCCCGTCCACCCCCGCGACCACCGCTTCCGATGTTCGCACCGATCACGCCGCTGTCCATCGTTATGGCGCGGCCGGTGGGTGCGGGGCGTCCACCCCGGCATCATAACGCGCGCTTTTGTGCGTACACCGTATGCAATCGTCAAAACACGCTGCCTTCCGATACCACCACATGTCCGTCACCGGTTCACCCTTTTACCGCTCGGTTCCATAGCGCATTACCACCCCGTACCCCATCCTCGTTTCTGATTTATCGTGAACAGTTTCCGGGAAAGGGAGAGTAAAATAGTTGCGCCCCTTAGGATTTTCCGCCAAGGTTTATACCGTTTGATGTTCCGTCCGATCGGTTCGATATCAGTACCTGCATAATACAACATTTTTTTGTAGACTGAGATTGTAAAACGGAAATCGAATCCATATACATTTTTTTTTATATTATTATGATTACAAACGGTATACGGTATTATGCTACGTGTCGGTTTTTGTTTTTATTCGTACCTGTAGTATACCTATCTTTCGATGGTATACAAAGAAAAAACAATGAACAAATAAGTACACTATTTTAGAAAAACTTTATTAAAAATGAAATAAACACACAAATTTTCGGATATCAAAAAAACTCACTATCCAACCGTCTCTCAGTCGAGACCCGCACTGTCCCCCTACTGTCTTGTTTCTGTCCTTAAATATTATTTTATAAAGTGCTGCCTCAGCTTATTTGCTTCATTGGCCTAACATTACGCAATTTAAGAAGTTATATTTGTCTATTTTTTTGGGGGCACATGCCATATACAACACTCCCTTATGTTAAAAAAAAATATGTCCTCATATTTTAAATTTAAAACTATGCAATGTAATGTATACAATTATATAATACTAAATTTAAAAAAAAAATAAATATAACTAATACAACATACCGAATATGTGTTACAACTGGGTTGATATAATACCTATTATAAATTCTCTCCCGATGAACGTTTATTTATTAATTGACTATTGTACTGTTATCGAGCAAAAAGTACTGGATGAGAATATCGATTTTTCTAATATCTATCGAATTCAATTTAAACACACACACACACACACACACAAACTTATACACGTGTATTATAAAACAAATATTTTTGTTAGGTTATCAAGTTTCGATCTGTACATAATTGATCGATTTGCATACATCTCTCCATCCCCGTTTTTTCGAAATATTTTGGTTTTTTTTTTTTTTGTCCGGGATTTAATTTAAACTCACGAATAATATACACATCGTTATTAAAACCGAAAATTAAATGATAACTATGATTTTGTCAATAAAACCTGATTTTGTATCAGTGTCGTATAATTTTCAGGACAAAATCGGATATTTTTATTCCGTTAAAGGATTCATTGTCATATTTATGGACTTAAATGATATCCGAGAAAACAATCTAAACAAATAATTACTAAAAATAATTTAATTTTTATGCAAAGGTTTGCGTGTTTAATTATTTTTGTGGTCTCATTTCGCAAGTCTTGTGGACATGTGGACAATACCACTGACGTATTCGTTTTTATTTTTAATATTATCGTTAAAATCATTATATTTTTTTAACTGGAGTACCTAATTGAGATTGTAATTTTTGTGCATTTCCTATAAAGTACTCGGTTTATCTCTCACGTATAAAGTATAACAATAATTAATCGTGTGTAATAATAATATACAATAAGGGTAGGCTGGCAGCAGCTATTTAACATAATATTACAGAACTAATAAAATTCGATAATTATATTTCATCATAAATGTCGGATGGGAAATTAAACTACCAAAATCGTTTCCTAATTAGCATTAAGCTATGATTTTTCTGAATAAATGTTTTTTTTCCGGTTACACCATAATCAGCACATTAATTCATGACAGCGCTTCATCTGCGAATACCGTCGTATTTTTCGACACGTTAATGTATATTTTTTATACTAAATTGTATATTAATGCATTTTCTGGTATTTTGATGAACGTTTATTTCTGTTTAAAATCTAAAAATAAGTAAACAATCAATATTTGGTTCTTATTATTTTGTGGTGCTAAACTAAAATGAAATCGCAACAGAGTTTTCGATTGTTTTATTACATAAAGGTAAGAAACATGTATACTGTAATGAAATGAACTTGTCACTAAATAATATTAAAAAACAATAATAATAACATTAGTAGAAAATAAGAATAAATTATTTTTATATTTTTTATTGATTTTTTAATTTCGTGTGCAGGCGAAAGCAAGAGGAAGTAATTTTGTTGGAAGAAAAAATCCGGCAACGCAGTGAACAGCAGAAAAAGGCAGGCGTAGAGTTGGACGCAACTTGTCACATATGCCTGAAGACCAAATTTGCCGATGGTGTTGGACACCTGTGCAACTATTGCGGCATCAGATGTTGTGCCAGGTGTGGTGGCAAGGTTACCCTGCGTTCAAGCAAAGTAAGTATTCATTTGGTTTTCTATACGAATTATTAAAAACAAATTGATTAAATTCCTAACCCAACCCATATGTCTTAAAACTTTTATCATTTATAACTCGTATACCGTCAATACATTTATAAAAATGATAATGATAATGTGATTTAGAGTCCATTACTTTACATAATTTGTAATTGATGAATCGTTATTTATAATGATGACGAAGTAGAAAAATATTGTCTAATGTAAAAAATTAAAACCTAAGTTAATACAGTTACAGTTAGTTGCTTGAAATGAAAATAAATTAAATTAAATCCAACAAATGTTATGAAATTGTTAATTTGACTTTAATGGTTTGAAATTCAGTACATAGTTGCCTTTGAATATAAAAAGCCGATTGAAATGTTAGCTCAAAGTCCTTGTTCGTTGTATAGTACGTAATTATGTGTTTAAACACATATGACTAATTGTGTAACTAAAAACCATGCTTTGTTTGTTTGGTTATGTTTTGCAACTATTCAAAATAGGGAACAATAATTTTTATCACTCAATAGCTTACATTTATCGTGTATTTTTAATGTCTTTCGAATTATAGAAGCAAACGAAGTCAAACAGGCCGATAAAATAAGATATAATAAGTAGGGCAGTGAAGTTATTGCATTATTAACTCACTATATTGATTGCATTATTGCATTAAAATGTATTACAAATCGCAATTATTATTTTTAAAATTGTATTAAAAAAGAATAAATTAATAAATAAAATAAAATAATAATAATAATAATAATAATAATAATAATAATAATAATAACTAAATTCAAATGTTGCTTACATTATTGCATTGCACTATAAATGGTTTTTTTAAATTTTCAAAATCCAATTGTTTATTGTAGCAAAACAAATTTTTACATCGGGAGAAATTTATTTCTACATTAGTGGTTGTGATTGGCGCGTACTTAAAGTAGGTTAAATCACCGCTGGTCAAGTCTTCTGGTAATCCCTCCATCGACTGAATTACTCTACTTAAAATGTTGGATATAAAAACAATTTTTTTGGTATCCCTCATGTTTTTGTAAACTTCTTTAACATTTCTGGTTTATTCAAATTCTATTTTGTCCAGTGATTTTGTCTATTTTAGTTTCAACATTTTTAACTATAGATAAAGCTTCGATTAATAAGAAATATTGGGTTTCGAGCTTCGTTATTTCTCCTAGTATGAAATCATAATTTGGTTAGAATGAATATAAAGTTGGTTTCTATTGAATTATTAAAAAAAAAAAAAATGTTGAGTTTCTTTTATAGAAATAGTATCATTTAAATTTAATAATTGTATTACTTTTTTTATTTCTATAAAAATAGTAAGACGCCGCTAATTAATCCATGTCCTCCATCGAGTCATAGTGGGCTGAGAAGGTAAATTAATACCAAGAGTTTCTTCAAATAACAAAATATGAGAGTCTAAAAATATTTGTTTTACTTTGGCAATAAGCTTGTCAACTTTTGGAAAAAACTTATTATGTTTTCTTTTATTCTATGTATACCTCGAGCTAAACAAATTATGTGCACTATTTTGGAATACAAAACTTTAATTTTGGAGGCTGCTTGGCCATATAAGGGGCCGCATTAAATAAAAATACCTAAACGTCATTGTGACGTATTCCATTTGGCCATAATAAAAACAAGAACTTATCAAAAAGTTTAGCTATTGTTGAATGGTCAGCTTTTACAAGAATGTCTGTTGCGAGTAAAAATATCTTATCAGGTTGATAATTTCTGAGGTTTCAATTACAACGTTAGCTATAAAACATTCAATTTACATCTTCGTAATAAACATTAACATTTATTTTGTAAAAAGTAGAGACAGTTTGAATTTCTTTGTCAGTGTATTTTTCCAAAAATGAATAGAAATTTATAATACTAATTTTATGTAACTATTAACCTTGACATCAGTTCTTCACATTAATCAAACGAAAAATTGACTTTTTTTTACTTGTTACTAATTGTTGAACTTTTGAATTTGTTTTCTTGGTTTTCTTATTTACTGACCTAGAATTTTTATAAGTTTTGAGATGTTACGTCACAATATATCGTACATCGGCATATACTTGCATTTCACACATTTTGCAAAAAAGAATACTCCCATCAGTTGAAAAAATATTATCGCCAAATTCAGATACGTAATTTTTAAACGACCGATTACTTCGTTTGACTTTCAGCATTTTAACGGATGAAATAGATATAATAAATGACTAAATCTATTTCAAATTACATCATGATATCCTTTTTTTAAATATAACTGAATATCTAGTAGTATATATTTCATTGGAAAAAAATGTTTTATCTTAAAGACTTAAATGTAATAATCGCACTATAAAAATATTAATAAATATTTTAACAAGTATATAAATTTGTTCACAGCAATATTCACTTAATTTTTATTTTATACATTCAGTCAAATAAGTAATCTTAAATTTACACAAAAATTATGAAAAATAGTTAAAATTGGAGGAAAACTAAAAAAATCGCCAAAATTGCATTTGTTGCTTACATTTTTTTTTGTTTGAAATAAGAGCTTAACAAAACATTTTTGAGCTCACTTAACAATAAAAATAAGCATTTATAAAAAATATGTAAAAACAACAAATTCACTGCCCTAATAATAAGTTATACTTTCAAATTAATGTTTTGAAATTTGTTTAGTTTATAACCAAGTGTTTAAAGAAAATATGTCATTAGTTTAATCTTGTTTATACTGTATAGTAAAATTATATGAATGCTGATTTAGATAATATACACTAGCAGGGGTGCAGTTTAAAGTTTTAAAATGAATAGCAAATAATGTAGATAGGCCAAATTTTCCTCAGTTTTTTTTATTATCAAAATCAAGTTTTCAAAAAGTCACGCAAAAATGTAATAGATGTTTTCTACATGTTCGTTAAATTATGCTATAAAATCAAAATACCTACATTTGTAATAGGTTCTTTGGCCTTGCAATCAGCGTCCATGTCAAGATCGATTGAGGGAGGGGAGGGGGAGGAAAGAATATAGGTAAAGACATGAGTAAATATTAAAATCTCCGCTAGACAAAAATGAGACTGGATTAGTGTACTAAGGAAATAAATTACTAACTTATATTACAAATTAAGTTGGCTTCTAAAATATAAAGCCAGTACTATAGTAAAAAATAGGGTCCTAACAAGAAATCTCTCTCTAAAATACTCTCTTATGAATTTAAATAAATTAAATCAATTTAATGTTTGTATACATTTAATTTCTTTTACATTTTTTAGACAATATATTATAAATTTAACTAAATGTGCGATTAAAAAAAAAAACATTTTTTTTTTTTTATTAAATTTAATTACAATTTACTCACATCATTAAGTACAATAAGTAATTTAGATAAAATATATAAACATGGCAAGAGAAACAGAATAGGTAGGACATTTAAAAAAAAAAAAAAAAAATCTTAAATATTTTAATCTCTAATTATATATTTAGATAAAGTTTTATACTATATTATTACCTTTTGTTCGGAAAAAATTAAAAAAGCGTATGGTTGTACTTCCTACTCAAAATGTCCAGAGGTTATATTGATTTTAAAAAGAGCATAATTATTTTTAATACTAGAAAATTGTATTGCATTGAGTTAGTTATAGTTATAAAAGGTTGTTTATGATAATTTGACATACCCAATTGTTAAATTTAGTATAAGATATGTGCTTGATTCAAAATATTGACCTTTAAATGACAAAGGAAAGAATGGTTTGTTCGATCGTTCATCAAATAAAATGCATTTAGCCGACTTTGATGGAATTCATATAAAATAGTTCAACGTTTTTAGTCAAATATTTCAACAGTCAAAAGTAGTTTATGTGAAACAAAATGACATATATAATTGGTAGTACAATTTACTACAGTAAACAGTAACCATGGTTGTAATTTATTTACGTGAAAATAATTGTTAATAATAATTCATTTTATTAGTATAATTTGATCTAAAATTCTATAATTTTGAGTTATTACACTGTTGGAGGAAATTAATTATATTTTAAACCATTGTTGAATTATTTCCCAACCGTTGAAACAAAATCTAACCTAACACATATAACAGATATATAACTTTTACATAATTATTGCACACATCAGTGAGTAAAATTAAACATTAATTTACCACGAAATTGTACAATTTATGTATCATTAATGGTTTATATATTTTTTTATAATTATTTTATGTTAAAAAAAGACAATCATAGTGTCCTTTAAAAGGTTAGTTAATACAATTAATAATGCTCGTCGACCATTTTATTATAAAATAATATATATATCAATATTTTAAAATTTCGTTGGAACTTTTTAAGTATACTTGTTCAAATTATATTATGAACAAATAATTTAGAGTACATGCATAATGTATAGGTTTATGTATTATACATATTTACAGTGTAGTATAAGAAATATCTGAACCTCGCAAATATATAACTTACGGGCAATTATAATTATGATAAGTTTAAATAATTAATTGTCATTTATTTATGTAAATTGACCATGAAAAAATATTAATCAAATAATTTAACACTTTCTGTTTTACGGTCCATATAAATTATTAAAAAAAACTTTTTAATGAATAAAATATCAACAATCAATCATGATATTAAAATAATAAACATTTATATAAGTGTAATAATAATTGTATTGGTAAATTAAACGCATGAATTTATTTTATTTACGAACTGTGAAAATTAACTATGTTATATACGATTCCATGATTGAAAAAATAAATTTTCTAATGTCTTATCATAATTGTATACTCGTTAAATAACTCATATACATTATATTCATTTTTCGTTACTTATAATAATATTGTTATGTAATACAATTTTCGTTTAAGATAATTTTAGTTAAACTAAGAAAATAAACATATCAGTTAGGTATTGTTTTATTTATATTTAAATAATCATATATTCTGATATTACACATCTATATTTTGATACACTTTAATACAACTATTATTTTACCTCTTGTTGTTTATATTCGAGTGTAATATTTTGGTAACATCAATTTGAATTCCAATTTAATATATTTTATTGGATTGTATATTTATATAGATATGATCTATTAACTAGTTGGTTATATTTCATTTTTAGTCATAAATTACGTAAAGTGATTTTAATTATATAATTGACGTATATATATATATATTATATATCCTATGTTATAATTATAATTTTCTTGTCAGTTTGGTAAGAATTAAATCGAAAATACGAGATGTGGTTTCGACAATAAGTTTTTGTTTAACTCGAAAACTATAATCTCGACTATAACAACAACATATGTTCCGTAACAAGAGCATCCTTTTTCAGTATAAAGGTTTTGCTCAATGAGAAACTAGGTACTCCGTAGCAGCTACTGTTACAATATGACGTGTGTTTGTGTGCAATGCGTTTGTAGTATGCGAGTGTGTTTGTGATAAAAGTCTGATCATGGCTTATGAGTTTACAGAATCAGTTACCCTTTGACCTAGTTATTTACATATTCACAATCTGACAATATAATACGCTCGTGAACGTTTCATGCAAATAATCTAAGGGTGCAGAAAATATATTTCAGATAAACTTCAGTGTTCCGCTTCCTTCCCTTAACGTTCTTATGTCATACATATATATATATTTATATTTATCTATTGATCGCTGTTGACGTGGACACGTCAAAACGTTTTTTTAATCGATTATTATTCATAAGCCATGCGAAAAATATCATCCGTTTATTGATAATACTTGTACATAGATATTATAGAAATATTTTTTATCAGTTTTATTTTTATTTTCATTGGTTCCATTTGAAAACGTTTGTATAGAATATGAAAAAAAAAAGAAAAAAAAAAAGCGAAAATAAACTGACGAAAAGCATCTGGTTTTAATTAAATTGACACATTTTAAATTCGAAGCTCGAACTTTGGCTTACGTCATAAACGCTGCTTTTAAAATATTATCATACACTGTAACACGTAAGTAGTTGTGTATTAGACGTTTGTTTTAACACTTAGGGTTGGTGATGATTGGTTGGTCGGCACAGGGTTGCAGTGTACTTATATATTATATTTGGGTGCGGAAGGAAGGCGACGGGAAAGTTCAGCAGCGCTGCGCACGTGTACAACTATATACTTTATATCACAAGAATCGTTTACATTTTTTGCCCGCTCGCAGTTTTATTTTTGGAAAAAAAAAATCGCATTGTTTTCTATTAGTTTAAAGTTTTTTTCGATATCATTTCTCTCTCTCTTTTTCTTTTTCTCTTTTTCTCTTTCCGTCTCACTCTTTGCCTTTGTCTCTATATTTCCCTGTCTTTTTCTCTCTATCTCCTTCTCTTTGCCTCTCTCTGTTTTTCTATCTGTCTCCCGCGCGTGCGTCGTCGTATTGCTTTTAATATGAAAACATCGCCACTGTCGTCTCCGCCTCTGCGATGGTCCCGGTGAAACGCGCTCATATATACGATATTATATTATATACGTGGAAGGTTTGTAGGGTGCATTCAACTCAAAACCATCCGCCCCTTTTTCGGTGGGAGGAATGACGTTACGGATTCCGGAACATGACGTATGTTATATTGATCGCCGGCCGCGGTAGCGGAGTACCACCGTCGTCGCTGGTCGTCGTTTTCCGTGTGCGGAAAGAGCGCACGGCGCAGTACTATAACTCCGCACGGATATTTGTTTTTCAATTTTCCTAACATCGTTTTTTTTAACGGTTCAATCCACTTGGATAACGTGCATTGCCACTCTGTTCGCAAAATATGGATAATCAAAATCAAATATTATTACACGATAATAATTTATTAAAACGTAATAGTATAATTTTATTGATATATTATAATATAAAATCATTATTAAGTTGTTTCATCCCTTCATACGAACTCGCAGAAAAATAATAATATTAATATTGAATGCCTACGGAAAGGATATATAAAAATGATATGGCCGTGGGGAAATACGATAATAGTCAATATTCTTAAATTGTTTAGTATTGCAGTTTTATAGTTTGAGAACTCAGAAAACTAAGAGACAAACTATGAAATAATGCAAAAATACTTATTTTGGTAGTACAACTAATTTTTAAAAAAATTAATTAAAAAAAAATTGAATTAACTTTTTAAAACAAATGAAAGATGATATAATTATCATGTTATATTTTCAATTTTTCCACTATTATCGTGTTTCCCTGTAGCCATTTAAATATATATATACTTATATATACTTATGTGTATTTATGTGTATCACAAGGGGAAAAAACACAAACAGTCGTTTAATGTACTAACGAGTTTATAAACGAGTACGCTCGCACAGAGGGTACCTACAGCAGACTGTATAGATACAGTGACCCCGTTTAGAGACGTCGCCGCTGAATCGTGTACTTATATAATGATATTGAATTTGTTAATATTACGATGTGTGTGCACGTGTGTGTAGGTAAGTGTATGCGAATTGTTTGTATATTACATGGCATAGACAGGAGACTGCGGAGGAACCATAACGACGTGTTTACTCAACGCCAATATTTTTGGTTGCATGAAAACTTGTGTAGATATTTGTGTGTATGTGCGTGTTTGCACAATGTCCTACGGAAATATTTCAGTCTGATCGAAATCTCCGACAAGGAAAAATATATATCCCACTGACATGAACGATTTTATTGTGTGTACTATAATTCCGCGTTGTGTGCTCAGAGACTATTAGAATCGCATTTATTCGAGTGAAAATGAGGCGCATTTAACGATTAGGACTTAGCTAGACAGAAAATACTTCGTCGTAAAATTTTTACGACCTAATAACCCCTTTGGTACTATATTTCACGTTTTTAATACATACTTGTGCTAATTTTTTCAAACACTTCTACAATGTACATCCGTGCGGAATGGAGTAATTATTACGATTTGTTAATAAATATTAACACACCCACGCTCATACACGTGAAATAAAAATGTATTGTTAATTTTATTGAAATACGGATATATCTTAAGTTAACATAGGAAAATCATGAGTTTTTTGTTCAAACGCATCTCAAATACATTTCGTTTGTTTCCGATACTGGGTCTATCCCGGTAAAGAGAAAATAGTAGATCTGAGTAGATCGAGACTAAGGCGGGAAGATATAGTTAAAGAGGATGTGACTTCAGAAGGCGATCCAATTCTTACTAAAACATTTGGTAAATTGGTTGTGAGATGTGATGGTTTTAGTGGCCTAAATGGTTTTAATAACAAAAAAATAATAAATAAATAACTTTTCATACGTTTTTCGGTGGCACTTACACATTAGTGGCTATCTGGTACAGATACATATAATAAATGCAAATGATATAACGTAAATGAAGCGGAGGAGGGGTTTGAGAGGCCTAGAATACCTACAAAAAGCTGATCAGTAAACCCACTGACGACGCCTTAATAAATAATACCATTACTTTATCAATAGATTTTCTATTGGATTTTGATAAATTATTTGAGGTTCCGAAGTAAAATTATTTGTAATGTTTACAGATTTTATACTTTATGAATATATTATAAAATCGTGTCATAAATTCTGATTAAGGAATTTAAACTTAATCATATGGATATTATAATAAACGTGTGCCCTGGATACAACCTTAGCACTTTCGCATTTCTTTGATGGTAAATTAACTCTAGTAATTAAATACTATAATTAAATAAAATAATTTTTTTATCATTTGATAACTTTGAACTAGTATTCTTCACGTTTTGATTATTTTATACTAATTTTATATTTTAAAATATTATTTATAAAAGGAGTAATTTTCAATTTGAATTTTTATTTGAAATATTTTATAGACATTTGGTGACTACTTGTAAACATTCGTTAATAAATTAATAAATATAATGCATTTTTATTATACTTCAAAACTATAAAAATAAACAAATAATCTAATGTTATGTACGGTTCAATAACATTAAATATGATAAATTATTTTGAATGCATCAACATTATAATATATACATATATATTCGACGCTTTAAAATATCACTCTGAAACACTAGAATAGGATCTTATTTTGAGAATTTATCATATTGAAAATAAAATATTTACTTTTCTATTTGTGTCCCAAATAATTAGTTTAATTAGATTAAACAGAATTGTGGTATAAATATGGTATGGTAATATATTTCTTTGGTACCTATTCGTGTATTATTCCCTACTGTGTATGATTATTATTACGACTCTACGGCTGTTTAACTACGTATACGATAAAACTATGTGTTATTTGATTATTCCTTGTCTTGACGTACTGGAAATGTTTTTTTCATAGGTGATTTGGGTGTGCATATTGTGTCGGAAAAAACAAGAGCTCCTCAGCAAGTCTGGGGAATGGATTAACCACGGTATGGCTGCCGCAGGTGGTGATCCCCGACGTTCTGAGGTGTCGTCCCCGTGCATGATGTCAGACAAGAGGCCCAAGCTTGAAAGGGCGCATAGCGCAGTGGAGAAGGAAAACGCACCGTTGTTGCAGCGGTCCAACAGTCTCCTTCGACGCCAATATTCCCAACAGGAGCCGTCCAGCCGGAAAGAACAAGAGCACGGAGTTCCTGGAGGCCACGACGAGTATTATCGCACGGTAACGTAAACATTCTGACCGATATTATTTTATTCTACATAGGAAAAAATGGTTTATCTTGAACACACGAAACGGCTGATTGATATTAAATATCAATATTATTCGTAATATAATAGGTAGTAATAATAACATGATGATATGGAACGTCTTGTATCGTTCCGATCAACTTTAAAACATCAATCACCTTGCTACTAGAATGTATCGATAGACGATTGTATAATACTTTTTATTGTGATAGGTATCACAATATGAAATAGAAATTAAACCGTTTAATTTGTAATTTAAATGTTTTACTCCAAATTCACAATACCCCTTCCCTCGAAAACCAATCCTGGTTGCACCACTGATCATTATAATATTAAAATTATATTGCTTTGGCCACATGACGACGTTATCGGCTATAAAAGCATAAATCACGTGCAAAGGGTTTATGAGTTCAAACTGCCTCCATCTAAATAGTCTGGATTTCTTTTCCTAAACTATTGATGAAATTATAATAATAACTATGGTTAAATTTTACACGTATCCCCCCCCCCCAAATGGTATTCTGGGCACGTCCCTAAATTGCATTTGTATTATGGCATACACGCCGATCAACCATGCTTTTATTATTAGGTACGTTTACCTACTTGCCACATCTTGATCTTGGGGCCGTGGTTTAGTACTGCATGTTGGACATTACTTTGTTTTTTCTCCATTTATTTTTGACGTATAATAATAAACCTTACGAAACACACATATGAAAACTATTAATTTAATTATTTATTAATTTATTAAATATATTACACATACACGTTTGTATCCGATGATGTTTTCACCGTCATCGATAAATAACTTTTTTTTGGTCCGTCCGGATGTCTTATAGGCAAGGCTTGAACTCTAAAAAGGGGTATTGAGATTATTATTATTTTTGTTTATAAATGGTTGCTATTGGTTTTAAATGTTTTAATAATAATATTTTTTTTACTTATAGGTAATAAAAAATAAAATATGTTTATAAATGGTTGCTATAGTAAAATTGTATAACAAAAAAAAAAAAAACCATGGACAAAATGTGCACGCGGGGTCCACAATCTACCGCAGGTAGATTGCCTACCTAGTAATACACTGCTCTCATAATCACACAAGTCTAGCAATTGCAACGCATTGTCTTGTCCAGCAAGTAATTTAAAAATAAATATAATATTAAATTTATATATATATATATATATATATATATATATATACATTAGAATCCGTTTAAGACGCTCTCCAAAGGATCAGTTACAAATAGCGTCTTAAGCGGGAAATCGTATAACGCAGGAACAAAAAATTTTTATTATATTTTACAATACATCCATGTTATATACATATAAATTATATTTCTTACTTTTTAGAGTGAATTATTACATTTATATTACCTATTTCAAAAAATCGTCTATCTTTCATTGTTTCAAAGTCTTGATGTTTTTTGAATACAGGGAATTTTCAATTTTATTAAGATGATGTAACGTTTCGTCAGCTTTGTCAAAAGATGCAATTAATTTTCTTAGCTCATTAACATGATCAAGTGCATTTGTTATTATTTGTTATTCGTTATCGTTATTATTAGTGAGGTATTTCTTTAAATGTTATACAATGCATATGTATATACAATATATTTTTATATGAACATAATTGACAAGACGAGCGTATTATCCGGGAACATAGAGTGTATTACCCAGAGTTAATTACATGTTAAATGTTGTCAAAATCAAGGGACTCGTAAAAATGAGCATATTAGCCGGAAAATCGTCTTAAATGAGAGCGTCTTAAACAGGTTCTACTGTATACATATAATTATTATGGAATGGAAGGGTTATCTCAATGCATGATAAAATATCTACAACAAGTTAGCCAACTTTGAATTGTTCATAATTATAATTATTTAAGAAAAGAAATTATGCTGGGTTCAAAGTTAAAAAAGCACAAATTTTTTTCCACATAACATTATTTGCAATTTTTTTTACGTTACAAATACGTTTATTGTTTATTTTAATCATTAATTATGATTAAAGAGTGGATTTAATTGATATTGTAACTTTTTATTGATACCCAGTAAATCAAATCTGATCAAATATGTATACGAATCTGATTAATTACAGTCTTCCTATTTAATTTAATAATGCAATTTTTGTATACTTCACGTGATAAAATAAACAAATTATTATTTTCAAAGTGATTTTACATAAAAAAATATAACTATGACGTAAATTTTTACAAGTAGTTAAATGTAGTTTAGGATTTGATTTTTTAAAATTACATTTATCTGAATTATCCACAAAACTCACAAGTTTAGAAGAATCAAATAGTTAATTACTTAATAATTTAAACATATTTAGTAAAAATACTAAACAAATACTAACTAAATAAAAATATTTAGTATAAATATTTTTATAAATATTCCCGGTCCCAATGGAAAAATAGTTAAAGATAAATTAAAATATATCTTAGAAAAAAATGAAAGATATAAAATTATTAAAATTTACTCTGAGATTATGACAGGAAATAAAAATGTTTATTTAGATACATCACTCAATTTTTAAACTATTTTAAATATGCATCGATAAAAAGTGTCGACGTTGAACGTACTTTTTCATTATATAAACATATTTTAAGTAACAGACGATACAATTTTCAAGAACACAATTTAGAGATGTATATAATTATAAATTTTAAAACAGGAAAAAGATATATTTTGTAAACATTATACAAATGTCCGTAATATTATTTAAGTAAGTAATTAATGATTATATATTTATATTTGATTTATATATTTGATATGATTTTACTATGTAATTTTAATGTATTTCATTACAATTTTGGTATCTTTTTAGTGCAATTTCAAATATTTTTAATGCAATTATATATGGTCTTTAATTATGATTAATGATATATTATTTTTAATGTTATTCAACATTTTCCGTTTTTCTTTTATTGATTTCGTTTATTTATTTACATTTTTTTCGTTATAACGTTATATATAACGTTTTGAAGCCCTGCTTATAGGTATATCATTGTATAATCTAATTAAAGCGTAGTATAAAGTAGTCATTATCATTGCACTTAAAATATAATTTTATAATAACAATTTAAGTATTTGACCTTGTTTCTGAATTATTATTTTGAGATATATTATTCAGTTAAGTTATAAAATGGTTTTTTATATTTGTTATGTTATGAAATTAGGTACATACAAATTGCTGATTATAACAGTCCATAATTTTACTATTATTACGATAATATTATGTTCGGTTTGCAGTATAATACATTTTTTAAATACGCGTGTTTGCATTTACATCGCTGCCGCTTTAAAACCATTTTTTGAAAAATATTTACTATTTATGTAGTACCGGAAAATATATTCCACAATTAAAATTCGATTTCGTTCTGTCTGCACGTTTTCCGTGTACAATCGGGAATGTAATATTCTTTGGGAAATAACTTCTGTTTACAATTTCCTCTCGGGAGTTCAAACACACACACGGAAAAAAAAATACTAATACTGGATGACGTCAGTAAGGCAGCCAGCCGTAACTTTTTTGTTAAATCTACGACCAACTCACCCCGGGATACGCATAAAAAATAAGGACACGTATAAAGGCCAAGCGGGAAAAATATGATAATTATTTTAAGAAAGGCTTCTTAAATAAATTGTTACGTTTAAAATTTATCGTACTAAAATTAGCTTTGTCTAAAACAATGATTTCATTTATGTACGTTCGTAACTTCGTAAATAAGAGGTAAGCTTCAATATGGTACTTTGCAATGTACTTCTACATTTAAACGTGCGTCATGTGCATGTCAGTGATACAAACAACTATATTTCTATGTATACGAATTGTACATAAACAGTAGTTCTACAAAACGTTTTTAATTTGTATTCGTATAAAAACTTCTGTTCAATATTTGATCCACGTGAAAAATCGTAATTTCGTTAGCGGCGAATGTATTATTATAGGTGAATTGTGCGTTATACGTTGGTATTGGGCTTCTATTGAATTAAAAAAAAAATTATAAATATAATTAATAATTGTTGGACATGAATATAATTGGTATTTAAAATGTCAAACTTCACGTCCAAAAACTGATATCAACGTGTTGGGTAAACGTATTAGGTATTATATGTGCAATAGACACCTGTCAATACAACAAATAGTTCATAATTATATGCAGGGCTTTGCACCCGAATCATTTATTTGGGTTTCGGGTGCTGGATGTATTCGGGTGTTCGAACACCAGAATAATAAATCTAAATAAACGTTTAGGTTAACCGTTGTTATTCGGGTTAATATTAGTTAATACGGGTGTTCAATAGTCTAAAAAAAATTACAATTTTTTATTGAAAGCTAATTCAAACTTCTCCCTCTTCCACAAAAAAAAATTCATTCGAAAAAAATGATACTTATAACTTATAAAATAGAATTTTCTAACAAGAATGCACAACATTCGTTTGGATTAAACTCGGTTTATTAAAATACATTAGTTATTAAGAACTTTTTCTAGAAACTACAAGAATTAAGATAATGGGAAATTAATTAGGTACCTATTTATTTTATTGTTGACAATTTGATTAGAGTCCTTGTCACTTATATAAATCTATAATGTACCTATAATATTATTGTCCATAATTTTCATGCATTTTATAAGTTTCCATATATTTATCTGTTTATTATTTTAAACATAGATAAGTGTTAATCCAAACAGCCAAATAAATACCAAATATCAGTAAAAATATATTTTTAAATAATACTTATATTTTAACTTATATTTTTATTCAGAAGAATCCTAATTATTTATTTGATATAATCAATAATATATGATATATAAATAAATAATAGGTACAAAAACGGGGTTTTTTTTTTTAACAAATTATCTATTAAATAATGCTTAATTGTAATAAATTATAAATATTTGTATTTTGTAGTAGGTAGCTGTAATAAAAAAAATGACTGAAATAATAGGAAACTGTAACATAGCATAGGTAAATAAATTAATAACAGCATAAATTCATTACTTAAATTGAATTTAATGTGTTATTGAAATTAAATGTATGATTATTTCTGGTTAAGTTGATTTAGCCTAAATGGTAAATAGTTAACCTAGCATCGAATTACGGTATTCATTACTTAATTTTAATAAAATCACTTGGGAAGTTGGTTGGAAAATAATACTAGATATTACTTATAGCTTATTGAAATTGATTATTACTTATTATTAGTAGTATTTTTTCACGAATGTCAGGACAACCATGTCTATATTTTATATTGCTGTAATAAATTATAATATAATATAATAAAAGTAATAAATTATATTATATTTATATTCTAAGAAATAATTTAGTATCGTTTGGTTTAATCAGAATCAATTAATGATTTTATTAGATTTTATTTTCAAGAAAGTATTTATTGAATTTACATATAATTAAGCGTAAAATATTTCTGGAACTAACCTTAAGAAATATATTTAAAATTATATATCATATGAAGATTGTAAAAAAAACAAAAAAATAATAGGATTTTGAGTTTACCAGGATATTTTATTCGGGTTTTGGTTAATTCGAGTATTTTGGAAAAAAAATCATTCGGGTTATATGAGGTTCGGGTGTTTGGATTTTTTAAATGTTTTTAAGGGTGTTACGGGTTCGGGTTAATTCGGGTGCAAGGCTCTGCTTATATGTATAATATGTTTACTATATTGGGTATTACAGTACGCCTTTACCATGTCTATTCTGACGCAACGCGTTGGTATATATATATTACTATCGTCTTTAATTTTGCACATTATTAACCACGTTGATTTTTAATAACATACCATAGAAGTCTGGAAGTTTGCAAATATAATACAATTTGATACGAACATAAGCGCACCCACAATATACTATTACCGTCGTAATGGTCGTGTAGAATATACTTGTTTTTAAACTAATTTCATGATTTAATACGCAATGAATAAACACTAAATCATTTGTTAAAAAACTCTTAAAAAACATATATTTATTTTTATAAATATGTTGTTGAAATTGCTTTCATAATATAGAACCCTTTAAAATCGTAACTGTTTACAAAGTCATATTTTACATGACTCCTATAATCCGATATATCCGTTTAATGAGTGACGTTTCATTTATAATTTCAAATCAGTAAGTACTCATTTCATTCAACGTCACGCCATATTTTTCAAGAGGACCAGAGAAGTATCGTTCTAGTTGCTATGTAACACGTACTTGTTACCTTTTAGTGGGATCTGGATGTTGCTCTCGTGACAAATGAGGGGAAGATGTGCATTTTTGATACTCATATTTCATAATAACTACTTAAAGTAACCAACATAAAAAAGCATTAATACACATGACATCTAGTTTAAAGTCGTATTAATATCCTGCATGCAATCTCATCCACATACCACAATCAAAGTACCTACACAAATAAAACTATTTATACTACCTATAGAGCAATTGGATTTATATCAATCAAGGGTAAGAAAGATTTACTGGAAAGATATTGTCTTTTTTATCGGTTTACAGGTCGTTCCATTGTCATTCTATGTATCTTCTTTGATTCGATGTCGTCATCTATTGTATATTATTGTAATCATATAGTTATTTTATATTAATTTATAGTCAGGGTGTGTGAAAGCAAATATCCCCTCTATCTCGTACCACCGTAATTAGTATACGAGTATATATGTATATATGTACACATAATTAGCTAATATTTTGGCTGAAGTATTCAAAAATCTATATGGAAAATTACTAATTTGGAGTGCTTTACTATGTCAAAGTACTAGAGTTTTGTTTAATTTTACCAGTGATGTTCACTGTTACAATTTAAATTTTATGTCCACATAATTTTTGAAATCACTGAGTATAATAGGTGTGATAAAATAGGACGTAAAATGATTGTCTATTTTAAATCGAACCGAAAAACATTTATCGATATTAAAAAAAGAAATTTCCGTTTCTCGTTCGGGATATGTAGACAGCTAATGAGTATACACCAAATACTACAATCCCGTATCGCTCGCCTGCGGCTTATATCTTCAAAACCGTTATAATTAGCCGTTTCCTTCAGGCCCGAGACGATTACTACCGTGGTGGTCAGCTAGAAGGAACTCACAGGATCGGGGCCAATAACCAATCGTCCAGGTCATCGCACCACCAATCAGTGCATCAGTTCGGCCCTGCAGTAGACTGCAAACAGCTGTCGGTGGGCCGTGGTGGACCCGGCTCCAACCCGATGCGCAAACACAAAAGGCCCGGGAACACGGTACCTCCCGAACGGCTTCACCAGCAGCACCAGCAGCACATCAGTTTTTCCAGTTCGGAGGAAGAACTACGGTCCACATCCGAGTGTACCAGCTGCGACGAGCACGAAAGTGAAAAAGGTAAGGTGTCAGTCCATCACGTCTACTCCCCCCCCCTCCAACAACCCTTTTAACCTAGTCCGTAATCCAGCGTCATACACTTACACCGTGCCTACACGGGAACGCGCTGCTGTAAAAAAATCACAGTCGTTTTATAGTCAGACCGTATCCATGCGTAAATAAGTTTAAACACCGTTTCATTTCTGGCGAGACGACGTGTACGCAGCTTATATCATTATTATCGATTTTTTTTTTGTTCTTTTATCACACGATAAAAACTGTTTCGTGGATTTCGAATATTTAAAGAAAACACACACACATCATGTATACGCACGTCGTAACTGTACCCGTTGTATTGCTTTACGATCGGAACGAAAGTGGAGAAATTCGAGTTAATATATTTATTTTTTCTAAAAATTATCTCTTGGTACATTTCGATATCGATGACCCACATTCACGATCTAAATTTTCTTGACGGGTGCAAGTAGGTGGGGACATTGTAAGAATACGATTCGCGGAACACTAGTAATGTTATTGATTGAACTGACGTATAGGTGACGCAGAGAGTAATGCGGGAGAAGACCAGACTTATAAACATTCAATGACATTATTATCGGTAGGTTTTTGGCGTCTGTAAAGCTCGTTTTTTTTCAAATTATTTTTATTTTATTCAAAACGATATTTCTTACATCGTTTTGTTTAATATTTTTATAGTATATTATACTAATTTTTTATTTTTTGTTTTTGTGTTGGATGAATTTTTATTTATAATTTAATTTTGTGATTTTTTTTTTTTTTTTATTATACAATTTTGATTTTTTGTTATGGCGTTACCCAGCAAACATGCATGCGTCGTGACATTCTTTGATTATCCCTCTTGACTATAAACATACTTGTGTTTTCTTTATTGCGCTCTATTACGGTTGGGGCTCTTGAGTCTGGGCGGTTTGAGGTTAGGTGACAGTGTGTTGTCATTTAGCAATTTGCCGCAAGATGGGCACCATTAATGGATCTAGGCGAAAGAAAACCGTGCGATTCGACCATCGACACCATCAAACTACCCAGCAAACATCCAAAGACTCTGGATTCGATACTGGCAGTTCGATATTCACGTCCAACGATGACCCAATATACCTCAGCGATATTAAGGTACTGAAATGCATAATGCATTGACTTAAAAACATAAAATAAAACTAAATAAACGGAATAGAGTAGAATCTATTGATGGCAAAATCGAAAAGCCTTTATTTTATATATATATTTATAGTATATAGTTAGTAAACTTGTCATTTTTAGTTTGCTGACATTCTTATAATGTCGAAAATAACTATTCTGATTTTCGTCATAAGCTCACCATGTTGATTTACAATATAGTCATATAACATTGTACAGTTTGTTACACCAATAAAAACGCTATCATATATACTAATAATAGTTTATATTTGCTGTTTAAGATAACGTTTGCAATTTTAACATCGTAAAAATTATATCTATTGATTGTTCTATTGCTCAAAGAAGATTAGTGTAATTCATTGTTATTGAATGCAATTCGATTGTTTTTTTTTATTACTAAATATTGTTTGTTATTACATTTATAATTAATTTAATACAATTTTCATTGAAATATTAAGCTATACGTATAGTTCATTTTTATGTATAACTAATTTAATTAGTATTTATAGATTATAGTATAGTATTTTGTAAACAATTTGAGGTATTAATATTAAATTTAGTTTTTATTGTAATATATTTGTAAATATATCTTTCTGAAAACATATCATATGGTTGAAATGCAAATTACATTAGATTTATAAATATAAATTTATTGAAAATTTTCATAAATTAAGAGTATAGGTAACTTATATCATAAGTAATGTATATTATTTACAGGATGTATATTATAAATATAATACCTATATTAATTTGTATTATAATAATGATACATTTAAATTATTTGTATGATTTTAAATCCAAAATTTTTATTCTTACATTATCAAAAGCCCAAGTGTTAGGTCTATAATAATGTTATTATAATTTCTATTACCAAACCAACTGTGATGTAAAGGTAAGAATGATTTAAAGTAAACGAAGAACACAGTTTTCTATAATTTTAATGCCAACACAGTTTACCTATTTTACTGTAATACGTTAGCTGTACTTTTATACTTTAAGTTATTGAAATAATTTACCTTAAGAAAAGTGATAAAATTATATTGCTTGTATTTATATTATAAATTTATAATAAAGGTATCAAATAAAATCTCCACTCATTGCTAACTGCTTTTTTGCATGTACATTATTCAATTTTGCATGTGTATGAATTATTATTTCTATTTTCGTGAATGATTTTTTTCTTTTGATTATTTTCTTAGTTTAATGATCGAACTCAATATTTTAATTATAGAACAAAACATATCTAATTATAACAAAACACTACAGTGGTATCATGTCAATATCATGTCACATCATTTATTATATCAATATATCATTACATTCATTGAGTTTATTAAGATATTAAGTGTTGTTCTTCATTATTTTGTAAATAATATAATAATAATATAATATTAATATTTGAAATTTGAAAATCAAATTAGACTCGAAGTAAATTATTTTATCTAATATAGATACAAAAAATAATAATACAATTTTATATGTTGTTGAATCATGATTTTCTAGTATTTGATCCAATCTGGTGTGAATATCGTTTTGAAGTGATTTATTTTTGTGATCGGGAATTTATTGAACATTTTTATAGTTAAAAATAAATATAAGTTAATTAAATTATATAACCACGATTGAAAATTCTTATTGGTTTTTTAATCATATATTTTGAATAACCCATTAAAAATGTAAAGCACGATGTGTTATGTGATATTGAACATTTTCCAATTTATTATAATAAATGAATACATTTAAGTTTTACTTAGTATCCTGATATCATAAACGGAAGGGTAATAAAATTGACGAGTGATACATCTCACTCAATTCATCCACCTAACCAACAATTCACTGTTTACGAAATGATCAAACGTCAAAATTGATGGATCAACTTATTTCTTTGACCTCCGATTATCGGTCTTAATTTCAGTTGGAAAAATAGATTTTTTTTTTTCCAATTCGTAAGTAATATGACCAAGACAATAATTCATATTTAATAGTGGAAGCTGCATTTTCTTTGAAAGAAAAAAAAATCACACACTTAAAGCTAATCACACATTACAGACAAAAAAAAAATATATTTATATATATATATATTTAAAATGTCACTGGTATGTGTTGAGTTATGATTAGATATTAGAGTCTGACGCGTGTACGACGTGTACGCGTGTACGACGAGGCTAATGCCGGTTATGTTTGCAGCAACCAATGTCGTGGCAACGGAGCCCCGATAACAAGTTCTTGATAGGTCACATGGTGCTTAACAAGTCTGTTTGGGAGACTCCGATCAGCCCGTCTTCCAGCGCGGCCGCTATGTTGGGACTGAAAATCACCGGCGGAAAATTCTTGTCGGCCACCGGAAGGAGATGCGCGATTATCGATCGCGTCCGGAAAGGAAGTACTGCCGACATGGAGGGAAATTTGAAACCGGGTTAGTGGGACATACAGCGTCTGCTGTTTCTCTCCTTTATCCCTCTCACTTCCATTTTTCCTATTTTTCTGCCGGTGTAAAGGAACAAAAATATATAGCTTAATAAAAATCGGAGTTAGTTTTCAAACATCGTATCCACGAACGTCTTATTTTTTGACGACATTAAAACATTAAAATTCGTCAAGGTTTTTGTTATGCTTACTAGATTTTATTTTTATTTAATATTTACACATTAAATGACTAAAGTTTTACTAACTTTTTGAAGCAATTATTAATCCCATAATAACGTACTAATGTGTATAGCTGCGATAATGTACACTTCAATTCAAAACGTAGTATGTTTATACAGTTTTTGAAATAAAATCAATAACTCCTAACTATACCTTTCAGTCTTTTATACTAACAATTTTTCATAATTATCATATCAATCAAATAAAACATTTTTTATAAAACAATTAATATTAATTAGAAGCTAACAATATTTTTATATCAGTCATAAAAGATTTATGATTTTTTCATACACATTATGTTTTCATAATTTATTGGTCAGGAAATCTAAAAATTAGTTTTTGTTTAAAACTTAGTAACGATGGTTTTTTTTTTCATTTTGAAACACTTAATTGAAAATAAAAATTATTTGTTATCGGATATGGATTTGGAGTACTAAATATTAAATTATGATATTATTGACATATTGGTCAAAATCATAATAATTTATTTGATTGTTTAATACAATTTTCGTATCTATATATATAGCAGTATTATGTTAGTTTAGATAAGATAAAATAATGCAGATAATTGATATTATTAAATTCATTTTAAATGTATATACTAGAATAATTCGTTGTATTTAATAATAGTTAATATAATATTCGCATCAATCATAATATGTAATAGTATTATGATAAATAAAATAAGTAGGTAAACATATTTATATGAAATATAGATATTGATGAATTCTATAGAATATTACTTGGTTTAGGATTGTTCAATTTTAAGAAAACGATATAGTTAAAACTTGAAAGTAGATTAGTTTTAAGTATTAGAATCTTATATTTTTAATAATTACATTTTCTTTTAAAAATATGTTCATTAATATATTTATATATTTTAACTATAATATGTCTTTATTAAAAGGTGACGAAGTTTTAGAATGGAATGGTTGTTTATTGCAAGGCAAAACACAAAAAGAAGTATCAGATATTATTGCTGAATCAAAACATTTGCCACAAATCGAGCTCAAAGTATCCAGATCAATACTCCCGAGAAGAGCAAATTATGGCACTCCAACTAAAGGTATACATTTTAAGATGGTACCATTGTAGAGTCCCTGTTCTAACACCAATATTGATTAATGATGCTTGTTTAATTTGCTTTCAGTTACAACGAGTTCAATGGGTTAGCGCGATTTCAAACCGCCCTACTGATGCCCCTGACCCTTTTACATTTATAAAATTGATTTAAAAAATAAATAAAAATTATAATATCAATAAATCTCTTTGTGTTTTTAGGCTTATATGATTTGCGTAAAGATAAGCCTTACGTTATGGTGACTTCGCCGGGTAGTCCTGAGCATTTGGCTTCAAATCCAGCCCGGATTCTAAGGGCTTCCAAAAGTGTCACCGGTCCGAATAGTTTACACGTCGGAGGGAAGATACAGGTAACTGCCATCAATCAAATATACTGTTCAAGTAGTGACCTCAAAACCTCGTTGTAATTTTGTATGGGTGCTTTAGGTTAAATTGGGTTTTGACCCGCAATCACTGAAGTTGGTCGTAACGATAATGGCCGCTTCAAATCTTTTACCACGGTCTGATGGTTTACCAAGATCAGCGTATGCTAAGGTATGTCTTTTACCGGATACAAACGAGAAATCTAAACGAAGAACTAAAACGATCATGAATTCCACTGACCCTAAATGGAATCAAAGTTTTTCATTTACAACTATGAGAAGATCGGATTTGAAGTTTAAAGTTCTTCAAATATCATTATGGGATTATGATAACAATCCTACAAATCAGTTTCTTGGAGAGGTATTAATTGAACTGGGATTGAAAAAGTTAGAAAATTTAGCTGAATGGTATCCATTGACTGCTCATCAAGAAATAACCGTATGTTTTTTTTTTTTTTTTACTTGGCTTTAAAACTCATTAGACTATTTTGTTTTGTGATATTTTCAGGGAGAAGGAGGTGTTACGATAGGTGACTATGATATGGAATACTCTGGAGAACATTTATCTCCCCCATCTACATTATCTCGACAATCAGATTCAGATGCTTCAGATGTTGATGATTGCTGTAGTGGAAGAAGAGTGGGCGCTGATGGTGCATCAATAAGTAGCCTTGGTAGTTCTATAAGGTATGTAGCCTGTTGTGATAATATAATTAAATATTCTAACATTAAATAAATAAATAATTTATAGTCCACCACCTGATTATGATCATTTGGATCGTAGAAAAAGTCGTAGGGATATGTCTCCTCTACAAAAGTCATACGTGTATGGCACGACGATTGAAAAAAAATATGGATACGAGACCAGTGTGAAAGTAAGTATTGACTGTAAAAATAAGATTTAATAAATAATTTATTAAATATCTATATTATTTTCGTATAATAAAAGCAACAGTCCATTCCTAGTCGATCCACGACAAATGTTAGTCATAGATCAAGATCTGCAGCACCGACTGATTCTCCTAGCCAACATTCCAGATCACGATCAAAAAGTCCAACCATGATCTCTGATCGAAGAAGTTTATCACCCCCAGATTATAGGTATCCTGGAGGTGTACCGAATTATAGACAAGGTCCTTCTAAGTTTTTAGTTAGATCAGCAACAGCTACCCCTACATCCACTCCCAAAAAACGCCAACTTCCTCAAATTCCAGGAACTATGCCTTCTTCGTTAGATGAACGAATTCCATATGTAAGTTTTCTTTTTAAAACGAAAAGTATCGCTGAGATGCTAAAATGTGTTATTTCAGTATTTTGATGATCAAACGTCATCCGTGCGGAGAAGAACGAGACAAGTTCAGCCAAGAAGAATTCAGGGTAGATCTGGAGGCCTTGGTAGATTACATCATTGTGGTGGACTTAGTGATAGCGACATACCTATGCAACAAATTCGATCTCTGACTCCACCACATGTTAGGGGATCAATGATGTCCAGAGGAGAAACTGGAGACACTTGTGATATTGATGATAGCGATAGTATCATTAGCAGCGCTTTATCTACGCAGTCTGAACAGCCCAGATCAACGAGATTTTGGTAAAGAATACAATTTATATTGATCAAGGTTTAAAGTTAACATTCATTGCAATTTATAAAAATATTTAAGTTAGTATTTATGTTTGTCATTAGAATCATTACTCATCTATCTTTGTACATTTAGATGTCTGATATTTCAAGTGGCATATTGTGCGTGTATGAATTCCTTAAATAGTGTATATTTGTTACATCGGCTCAAAAATTATTAGTATTTTTCATACACATATTCATGAATGGGATAATATCTAAAATCTCACACCGATGTGTTTTGTCTTTTGCAGCTGCTGCAACGCCACCGATTACCGCTACCCATCAACGTCCCATTCACCCAGCTGTAGTTTTAGTAAAAGTAGTAGCAAGCGTGATAGTATCCATTTGTACCGTTATAATTCATTTCCTGCCGATTATTTTTTACTTCATCCGATAGATAATAGACCCATTCTGGCGGAATACTCGCCAACTGAAAACCCAAAACCATTAAAGAAAACACGATTCAATTTAAATCATCTAGATAGTCATGATCCTCTTTATGATTCAGATTCCGGATTGGATTTGCTAGGTTTTCAATCACCGACAGAGAAACAAAGATCCCGTAGGAAAAGAAATCTGACTCTAGATTTAGGCGAATCAGTGTTAGACGTAGTGGGTAGCTATAGTGGCGCTGCTGTAGCGTTTAGTTATGCTTTAACCGACCCTTTAAATGCTATTGTCCATGGCAGTGATTATGGAGCGTCGCACAGTAGATCTGGATCACAACAGTCTCCTGTCATGGTGCCGACTACCGATAACAAAAGGGCTCAATTTTCGAGGAGCCTGTCTAATGCTGATGTACAGACAGATAACATTACCGGTATGGTTTTATTATATTTACTAAAACCATTTAAATATTTTTGTTATCGAACCGTTGATACCGGTTTTTAGATTCTGGTAGTTCTGGAAAACGAAGAGGAGACTCGTCTTCCTTAACTGAAAGTGCCGGTAAAAGCTCAGCTTCTGGGACCAACTCTTCCGCTTCTGGAATGGGCAAAAAAAGCGCTTCAGCTTCTCAATTATCAGCAACCGGTGAGTGCTATTCTCAGAAAAAGATTTCATACCACTCCATGATTAAATATGTTTGAAACAAGTCGATTTTTTCTTATTTATCATGAATAAATTCCTTTAATAAAGTAACAAAACCATATAGATTTTATTATTATGTAAAAAATTGTTTAACTAGAAAACATGTTGTTCTTAATTCTTTGGTTACGTCTCTTGACTATTTATGATTTATTATTTCAAAATTTCTTTATTTCAAATGTTTCTAATTAGTAAATTTAATAACTGTTAATATTTATTTTATAAAATACGAATAAATTTGTAAAAAAAAAAAAAAAATAACAAATATCTTAAGTACTTTTTTCCCCAAACGGTCGAGTAAGACGTACCTATCAAAATCGTTCAAAATGTTATTTATGTTACAAGTTGTATACATATATCTTTATTACTTACAACATATACTTATTTTTTTTCTATTCAAATATCCACTTTTCTAACAGTTGATTAAAACATTTCAGAAAAGCAGCTTTTTATTCAATTTGTATTTTAAGTAATGATTGTTTACCTATTTATATTCATTTTGCTATAGTAAAATGATTAATTTTGGGCTGAATTTAAAGGACGCAAGCGTAGGTTAGGTTTTGGTTCGAAAGGAAAATCTTCATTTACGGTGCATAGAAGTGAAGAAGTGCTGCCTGGCACAAGCCGCCCCCTCATCAAACAGCCGTCCAGCGTTTCTAGTGACGGTGAAGCATCCCAAGACGGCGAAAGGTTAATAATGTATGATATTTGTAATTTGTTTTATGAAAAAAAATATATTAATAATAAAACCACGGAGATATTGATGGTATCCGGGATGAAGACCAAACATGGTAAAAGTCAAAGAAGCCTTGTGTATATTGTCGTTTTGGTTTGATGATTTTCAAAAAAGAAGTTTGCCTTTGCATGGGAATTGGATCATCACTCGTGTACATATAATTTTTGTTGTAGAATGTTTGTGCAAAATCTGAACATATTTATGAAAAGATAACATCGTCGCTAGAAATACTCAATACAGTTATTTTCATGGAAAATAATAAACAGACGCTTGTAAATATTGCGAATTACAAACACCCCGGTTACGTCTATTGGTATTGGAACATTTTCAGTCATTGTAGCCAACCAGTAGTCGTATTCCGGTTAGATGATCTTTCGTTTTTTTCACTTAGTCATATATATATATATATATATATATATATATATATATATATATCAATACCTTAGGAGTTCGTGCATAGTTGTAGAATGCTTTATTACGGTACATAATGGAGTATGGTTTTACCATACTAACAATTTTTACTGTAAACTATGCAAACAGTGTGTATACATTATAAATGAGCGTCGATGGCTAATGTAATATCACCTGAATCCTATCGCAGACCGCTGTGATAAATCCTTATAACTAGTAATTTCCACTATCAACATAATTGTTTCGGATATTGTTTTATTTGATTGATTGTTGGATAGAAGGAAGGAGCTCGAAAGGGAAACGCGGTTCAGGTGGCGGAGGCGGTGGCGCCCAACCCAATTTTAAGCGGTCCCAAGAGGTGGCCCCGGGCAGACAAGCAAGCCTCACCAGTCTTTCTAGTGATTGTCCGAGCTCGTAAGTAATCCTGATCTCCCAAGTCATCCAAATACATCAATTTATCTCTATTTTGGCCTGTGTGTTTATTTTTAGCTTAAAATTCTTCCCTTATTGCACGTTAAAACTGTCTGTACGCAATTAATACTATTAAAAATGAGTCGAAATCAATATCGATAATAAACATTTTTTATTCATTTAGTTTTTTTTAATAACTTAATTTTGAGAATTATTATGAATCATATTACGCGATTTCAAAATTCAAAATTCAAATTTGGATAATAGAATAAATGTTTATACAGAAGTACGGCATTTAAAGCGTTATAATAAATCTTATTATAAAAGTACAACATTTAAAATTTTCTTCTTAGTATATTTGTTCTTGAAATTATAAATTTATATTATATTATTGGAAATAAATTAAATATTAGTTAAGAATATATTAATCTAATTAAGTAGTTATTATATATATTAAAATGTATTGATGTATAAAAATAGTACAGTTATTTTTATACATTTATAAAATGTAGTAGATATTAAATTGATTGCACCAATATTTTCACTAAAATTCATAAAAGTTATTAAGCTTAAAATAAATGCTTATTAAATATTCTTCATTTGTTATTTTCAATTGATGTATGTGTTTTGTGGTATATTTATTACTTTTCTAACACATTTTTTCAATTTTATATTATTTTATTGACTAAAAATTTTTTTTTTAAATTTGTTAAATTAGAATACAAATTACTACAAATTATTTGCAAATAGTTTTTAGATACTAACAAAAATTTATTTATTGGTATAGTTCACAAAATGCTTTCAAACTATTCTTTATAACGTAATACATTTAGGTTACCGTACGAATATACGGACACTATTAAACTATTAAGTTTCCAGTGTTAGGAAAGCTCCTTATAAAAATAAATCCATTCACTTTCATGTTATTTTTGTAAAATAGGACCTCGTTTTAGATCCTTGTTTCTTAATTACCATTAAAACAAATTTCGTTTTTAGATTCTTAGTAAAAGTTTTTAAACTATTATTTATTACTAATGATTGAAACGAATGATATTGATTATCTTTTATTATTTTATTTATCATGAAAAATTACATTAGAATCATTTTAAACACTACAATTTTATATTTAAGTGTTCAGGTATAGCAGCTTGTAAATCAGATTATACCTGTTGTTTATTCTCGTTCTTTACAATACTGTGATACTTACGGACCCTTTTACTGAGTATTGATTTACTATTTACTAAAAGCACTATGTTTTATTTGATTATTTTTACTGAATTTCCGTTATATTGAATTTATTAATTTTTGAAAGCCGCATAACATAATTAATCAATATTTTTTTTATTTTTTTTTTTTATAGTAAATAGTATTATTTTATATACTACTTGAAAAAAAATCTCATTATCTGTAAGCATTGCATTTCATCACGGACTATTCAAAATGACGCTATAATTTAATCATAATATTTTTATTAAAACATAGTGTCTATATAGTACACAAATATAATACAATTATCCTTTTACTAACCGTGCAACGTTAGCCAACGAACAATTTGCTTGGAGTAAAATATAATATTTGAATTGTACATATTTTTCAGCTTACGGTATACCTAACCTTTGTGACCATAAAAACTGCCCAAAAACCATTCACATAATCATGTTGAAATTATATTATACATTTATAAATATTTATTATATTTGTTTGAAAACAAACTTGCTTTACGGTCACTATAAAAATCTATCGCATAAATAAATACTTATATTAATGATAATATAATTTCGTTTAAGTGTTATTTTGAACGCTTGAAATTTATTTTGAATAGTTTAATTGGTAAAATGATGTATTTTGATGTTCATTAGTTTAAATGGAACCCAAATTTATACTTTATACGTCAAAGTTGGAAAATTCATCTAAAAATGTTGATTCACATTATGGCCTATGAATTTTATATTCTACTATTGTGGGGCACTTATTTAAATATTGGTTTGCGGGTTCCTTGATTATTTAATTGTTTGTTTTATGCATTAAACAGTACTTTTTCATGTTCAATGTACAACACAAACAATGTTACGGTTAGAGTTTATTTTGAAATGTCTGTTGAGCATTCGGTATATTATATTTTTCAACAAGACATACAATAAACTGTTATTTTTTAATTATTTTGTGTCTTATTATAATGTGTGCACAAATTATTTGACAAAACTATTTAAAATCGGAAATGTATTTCCAATTTAAATGAGTTTCTTTTTAACGATGTACATCAACAGAACAATAATTGGTGAGTAATACATATTAGGTTAAATATTTGTAGGAATTTCATCATTAGTTTCACATTGTTGACAATATTTAACGCTTTGTATTTCTAGTTATATATTTTCAATATTTGCACGTGCATGGTTTTTACATAATTGTTTATTAGTTGGTTTTGGTGACATAATTTAGTATAGGGAAACGTATATCGACACTACAATATTGCTTAAACTCAAATGATGCAAGATTCAAGTAATAAATAGTAATAAAAATGTATTATTTTTCCTAAAATGTGAAGGTATTGTTGATAATTGATTCAGAAAGAAACGTATATTTAACCATATATAAACCATATTTCAAAAATGAATTAATTTATAAACCATCTTATTTAGGACTGTGCGATTATTATTCCCTTCTAATAATCGAATATTTGAATAGTTTTCGATTACTATCGATTATTCGATTAATTAATTTATAATCTAAAAATCGAATAATCGTATAACCAAATAATCAAATAATTGAACAAACAAATAATCGAATAAATAAATAAATAACTAATGGAATAATGGTAATATAATTTATAATCAAATAATCTTACTATGCAGTATTTTAACAATAGTAGTAATCAAATAGTTATACTGACTTATAAGTCCTCTCATCGTTTCTATAAAAAAATCATAAAAATATTAAAAAATATTAGCTAACAAATCCCTAATAACAGGAATAACTACAACCTATTTTCGTTAGACACTTACCATAGACCGAATGAAAAATTATACCATTAATTCATCATCGCCACTGATGGATCAAAAATAGCGATTTGTTTTGAGTTTCCAACTATTTTTAATCTCCCAGTAATATTACAAAAAATAATGAATTATATTTAACTGAATATGCGTTTTTACTTTCGGAATTCAGTATAACAGTGACAAGTTGTGAATGATATTATCTATTGAAAATAAAAGTTAAATTCACATATATTTTTAAAGAATAATAAATTAGAATTATTGAAGAAAATATAATAGTTGTATTAACATTATACTTAACACTCTTCTTGTTTACAATGTGTCGGTATTCGTTTTTCCGAATTTCCTACACAAAAAGAGGTGTAATGAGGTAAGTATTCCAGGATTCAAATTATTTTGATGGTAATTATTACTTGTTGCAATTATTATATCTACTATTCTCATGTTTGGTCTTCACGTGACTATCAATTTCTTCAAGCACAATGGCGATCTATGCTAATATTCTATATTTCTTACAACGGTCATGAAAATCGCGTAGTAATTTTCTTATAAGGTAGTTTTTTTCCGTTTAGATCAACATTCTATTCATCGAATAATTTTTAAGGTGATATCTAACATTTTTTCATTCATCATTTTAGCGCCGGTCAGTCCACCGAAGGTGAAGTGACCACCTTTATTGGTAAACTCGGACCAGGGCAAAAAGTCAGTCGACAAATATTGGGGACTCCGTATCGAGGTGATGTTAAAATTGGATTCAATTTTTTCGTTAACTTTATGGAAGTAACAGTTTTTGAAGCAAAGGATTTGATTAACGTTAAAGAAACGAAAACAAAGCTTCCAGGTAATGAACATTTGATAGTCTATCATCGATGGGCATTTATATCTAAGTGTTATTAAAAAATTTTAACAGATACCTACGTGAAAGTATACCTAGTGAAAGGAAAAAAATGTGTGGAAAAACATCGTACAAAAACAATTAAAGAGAGCTTGCAGCCCAAGTACATGGAAATGCTCAAATTTAAAAGTTCACCTGCTGGTTGTTTAATCCAAGTAAGCTCATACCATTTGATGATAAAATAATACATTTTAAAGTTCGGGGAAAGAACAAACGTTTTGTTTCTCCAACTGGCATTTTAGAATATATATATATATATTCATTTAAAAACATACGTTTTTTTTTTTTATTTTTTTTATATTTATAGCTCTTAGTATAAAACTATGATACCTATATTTGTTTGTTACTTTATGTAATTAAATTCAACCGAAATTGATCTGATGGGGGGTATCACAAGTTTGATATTTTTATTTTTTTTTTTTTATGGAAATGCAGTTGCTTATAATTTTTGTACTTCTCTTTTCTTTAATGCTTACAATTTATGTATTTCGGAGTATAATAGCGCCTCGAAAACTTGATTCTGATTAGATACTGAATACTTGAACTGTTTTGCAGGTGTCAGTGTGGGGCGATTATGGACGCGAAAAAGGAAGGAAAGTGTTCATGGGCGTTGCCGTAATTTATATGGACAGCATAACTACAAGTCCTGGATCGTCACTGACGGAGTGGTACAGGCTGTTTGGGTCGTCATCGTTGGTTAGTGTTAATGAACGATTTCGGAATTCGTTTCCATCCTTGTATCCATGGTAGACTTTAACGACGTAGTTTAATATTAAGTAAATAATTAGAAATGAAAACAAACATGTTGTTGATTTTAGTATTACATAATTACTATAAATCAATACATAATATCATATTTATATATAATAATATATTATATATAATATAATATTAAATGTACAAAGAAAATCATTATGCCGTAGGTATTATCGGCATACTTGAAATTCTAGAAATTGTATTAATTATAATAAGTTATTGGTAGTTTTGAAATCGAATAGGGCATTTTTAAATATTTTTTATGTCCGTTGATAATATTTAATTTATTGCATGCGTACTATAATAATATTAATATTAATATCAATAGAATCAAACCTCAAAACTTAAGCCCTTACACACTGCATGATTTTTCATTTTCCATTTTAATGGCATGTAAATTGATTTGTTTAGTTTTTTTTTTTTTTTTGTTCTATTCGTTGATTTCTATCTGTTTAGAAAATATTTTCACTTCATGGTACTTGTTTTATCTAAATATTTTATACTGCTTGGAAACATTATTATTACGTCGAGCACTTTTGATTTTTAACGTATATTGTTCCGCTTCACAGGGTACATCGGACTGTTTGCTACATACGTTTTTCATCATTTACTGCTCATTTATATTGCTAATTTTATTTTTAAATTGTATATAATAAGTGCACTATTCATCTTTTTAACTATACGTATATGCATTTAATATAATATAGCTTTTGACAATGAAATATTAAGTTATTATGATGCTATGCTTGTATTTGTTATATATATTACGTACACATTAAATTAAAATATTTGATGGTGTACATATTATTATGATTTTAAATATGTGAATACTATAATGTTTGTTAGAATTGATGTGTTGAACAGCGATGAGCTGGTAAATGTATTGTCTTTCAACATTTCCAATAACTGATTCTGAGCTGGAGTTTTAAGTTATTGGTTCTACTACGTTGTATAATTATTTTCTTGAAATATATTTTAAGATGAGCATTCCGATAATATCTTAAATGCATTATTGTATTTCGGGTTTTCTTGTTTGTAATTTTTGAGATCACTACGTTTTTGGAAAAATCTGTCAAAAACTGCCAATAGATACTGTGAAATGTTTGATAAGTTTGTCGCGTGTAATCATTTATTTTAATTAAATTGCTCTTACTAATATAATAAAGAATAATGAATTTAATAGAAATTACAAATGATTTGTAGGTTTTGAATGTTTTTACAATATTTTGTTTCAATTGTTGTTGTTCTTAATATTAATATACTATTTTTTTTAAACAGTTCCGCTCAGAATCATTTTTAAGATGTGGTATATTTCATTTATACAATTTAATATTAACATATTTCCAACACAATCATTCAAGTATCACTTTTTAAAATACTATAGCTCAACCACGATTAAACTACATTTTATTTTATAAAAAAAAAAAAAAAAAATTCCTCGAGAAATAAATAAATGTACAGGTTTAAAATAATAACCATAATAAACTAATTGATAGTCATTGGTAAATTAGGTTTACGTTCTTTGTTTATCTGTATATCACCTTATTAAATAATATATCAAATCTGATATATTAAATCACTTAAATATTTTTTAAGAATATAATATATTTTATGAATAAAATGATGGAATAGTATACGACACTAGGATAAGTTGTTTTTATTTTATATTCCGATGTTGTTTAATTATTTTTCGATCGAAAAAGTGTAACAAACGATTATCTATATTAATTCTTAGTCAGCATATTTATTTAAACCACACGTAATTTAATAAGATAAAAATAACTTATCTCTTTGTTCCACGATTTGCATTTTAAATAATTTATATGAAATTTGAAATCTTATATCTTTAGGTGTATTTATAATTTTGAAAAGTTATAAAAAGTTTTCTAGCCTCTAAAAACCAATTATTACAATAATTGGTAGAATTGTAAGAAAAAAATGAAAAAATTGTACGTTATTGATATAGACGCAATTTGTATTATGATATTTAAAGATGCTTGTATATTTTTTTTTCTGTTCACCGATCGTGCTCCTTGATATTTTCGTCTTTGTACGTTTTTTAAAAAAATTGAAACATTGAACTTAATTTGCAATTATTTCTCTCTAAAATTAATTTAATAAAAATTAATTGTAGTTATATTTTACAATAATTTAGAGAGAAAATGGCTTTTTATAAACATTTAAAATCAATAATTTAGAAGTAAAATTACTTGAAAACCAAAATTTCCGTGTGTAATGTTTGTCTAGTTTTTAAATGTACTTCTCATTCCAATACTTCTTAATTATTTTCCAAAGCTTTGTGTATCCCCAATTAATTTGATGATCTATACATTTTTTTTTTAATAATATTATTATCGCATAATATTATTACTATTAAACACCGACAAATCTTTATGGCTATATGGTAAAATCAATGGTTTTATATTATTATTAAATATGAGACATGAAAGTTAATGTATTTAAATTTTTTTATGACTTTTGTACTTCAAAATTAATACAACTAGAAAACGAATACACGCTCATGATAAATTGAGTTTTCAACTTATTACTGTAAACTAATTTTTATTCAAATCCATTTCTTTGGAAATAAGAAAAAACCGTTCTATTTATGATATTTTGTTGGAGAATCGGTTATTGCCTCTATTGGCCCAGTTCCTCATCATACGATTTTATGTATTTTATTTAATATTACTCTTGAAGGCTACCACTTCGAATACTCCTATACAAATTGCGCCTATATTTATTGATGAATGATTTGTGTATATTACCTACATTTATTATTTATTTTTTTTTTTTTGTTACCTGTCCTAATGTTTTTTCTTCGTTTGTGATTAATTTATGTTTCAGTGAGTTTTGTTGCTTCATTCTATTGGGTTTCTTCTTTGGTGGTTGCATGCAGACAACATTTTTTGTTTTTAATTCCACTTAAAAGTATTAATTATTTAAGGGCAAGTCACAGTTATGCATTGGACTATTTTTTAACGCAGATCTAACTTATATTCTCAATATTCTAAAATAATTATTTGTAAATAATAACGGAAAACATTACATGTAAATAAATAATTTATTATGGAATTATGTGTTTCGTAACATTAAAACTTTCTTATTATGTCTATACATTCCTATATAGTTATGATGAAAAAAACCTGTTTTTAACTGTTTAATTGATAATTAATGGAAAAACTTTAAAATAAACAGTGCGTTATTTATAAATACTTTATATTTGTTTAGCCCTTTGCGTCCTGTGCATGATTCCCAAGTAAAATTATTGACTTATCCTTTCAGACAACGGTGGTTTGTTACAGGCTACAACATAAAAGTACAATAATATATGGTAAGATGCAAATTACTGCGTATAGAAGTGAAAGTATACTCTGTTGGCAAAGAAAGAATATCTTTTTGTCAAGACTAAAAGATAACTGTATACACACACAACATGTTACGTAAAAATAAACAAAATGTACAAACTTTGTTGATAGTAAATATTTTGATCACGTGTATTGCCTGATATATTTGAGAGTCTATAAGAAAATGAATATCTTCTAATTATTAAGCAATAATTATTATGTATTACATACCATTGAATCAAATGGTTCAGTGTTTTTAATGCACGAATTTGATAATTAAATTAGTGAAATAATATAATATTTTATACTTAAATTTTATACATAAAGAATTATATAATCAAAACAAATTATGTACAGTAGGTAATTATTATTTTTTATTTAAATTGTTAAGAATAAGTAGAATAAGTAAATAATTGTGTTTATAATATGTAAAAGTACACAAGCCTTCTTTACTATATGATATTATGTAAATATAGGTATACCTTGGAAAGTTTATTAGTATGATAACACGATTGATGATTTTGGTCTCATATATAGTGATTTTTTCGTGTCTACATAATCGCTAAAACAAAAATACACATCGTTTAATAGACATAAAAAGATCATTAAAACCGATTTACTTAAAGATTCTTAATTTAATGTACGATTGTTATTCGTGCCTGGATCACAGAAATTTGAGAGAGTGTCTTAAATAAGCCTAAATCTAGAGTATTGTAATATAATAATTATAATTATTATTGCAGTTTATTTTAAAATGTGAATAAAAATTTACAAACAAAGCCAATAATAAGCATTACGAATGCTCAGGTAAGAAGCATTATCGTAATGGATGGAAAAAATACGACAGTCTTGGTGAAGAAACCATGGTGTACAATAATAGACCGTTGCGAGTCTGGTCGTGTAAGATATTTTATAATAAAATCAAATGAAACATACTAAAAACACAGGAGCATAATATTTGAAAGTAGTGAACATGTAAGATTTAGCCGGTACAGATAAAATATTGAGTAGTACGGACGGGTTGCATTACGGTAAGACATGCAAAGAACAGTGATAGTTACAAAGGGTAACTCGAAGGTTGTAGAGGGTTTGAATAAGCTGTAAATTGTTAATGAAAAATTTTTTTAATGTACTATTGTCGGATATACAAACGTAAAAAAAATCAATGTATTAAAATTATCTAATAAGATTTTAGATGACTCTGTACCTGGGGGATTCCACTACAAAATAATCATGCATCATATCTCCAAAGGTCATTAATGAACAAGGAAGATATTATTGTGATAGCGGTAAAGTATCAAATATTGCAATAATATTTATTAGACTCCTTAATCCGTAATCGGGTTTCATCAACATTTCAATAGTATATATATACGAACATTCTAACCATTATAGGGATTTGACTGAAACTTTTTTTGTTGTGAAAAAAAATCGCGTTGAGTGGTGATTTAAACGCATTTTTATGGCCATTCAAAATATGATAATTTGTTTTCACTTATGTTTTCAAGTCGTGTGAATAAACTTACTTTTCGGCGTACCAAGCGTTTATGCTTGAAGTTCGGACAACCATGTAATGTGGAACATCATTAAAGTGTTCATTCATCGTAATTGTTTCTTGTTCCGTTCCGACGTTTATCATAATATAAAAGGTGTCCTGACCTTCAAGTTTTCTGACGGTAAAAAGGAAAGAAAAATAATTGTACAATAAGTATTAACGGCTGATACATTATTATAATAATTAGTGTTAAAGTGTTAATTATGTCATGCCAATAAAATAATATTGTGATGTACCATGATTATTATTCGCTATGAAAAGTGAATTTTTGGATCGAAGGAGCGTGACCGACTTGGTCAGTCAGCAATACGTCATATTATTATTAATATTATTATTATCATTATTCTACGATGAAAGGAATCCGTCCAGGTTAATCGCTGTGCCCACGAAGATCAAAAGACTTAACCTTCACATAGTCGCGTCACATCTCTATATTTTATCTACTTCTTGACCGGCAGTGACGGCTATTATCAGGTTTACTACGCGTCTCTTGAACTAATAGTAAAATAATTTTTCAAATTTCCACCCGAAACTCCAAGCACTTTTTTAGTGGACCAAAAAGGCAGGGTGGCCATCTTCCTGCAGGTTCTGAAGTTGTGAAAAAATATATTCATCTCTAGCGAAATATATAAAGTTCATACTTTATATTATTGGATCAATGGTGTAAAGTATACGGTCTAAATAGGTCGATACGCTTCAGATACATGTAGGATAGTCGCCTCTGTTTATGACACGCGTGGACCATAGTGATACCATACTTATAAGCGATATCTGCATTGCTGACTCGATAACCAAAGACGGCAAGCCTGTTCAAATTAGAACAATGGCGAAAGAATTTTATTTTAGGGGAGGTGTCTAAAAAAAATTTAATTTGGTCCACCAAAAATTAAATCTTACGAATATTTTAATAACATTTTTATAAAATTTAAGATAAATAAAACAATTTTATTTTTCAAGAGTTTTATTAAGAACATGTTATTTACGCATTAATTATGAATAAGATGATGATTCATAAGCAGGCAATGGTATCCTTAGACTCATTTAATGGGAGGGGGGACAAATTTTATGGAAAGTTGTGACTGTATACGCACCGACTCCAACCATCCTTTTTTATATTATTTAAAATAAAAACATTTGTCGGCAGTGTGTACGCACAAAATAATCCAATTTCATAACTCAAGTGCAAAGAAACTACATTATCTAATACAATGTTTGTGTGAGTACGGAAGAGTGTCCACTAGTACGTCAACTCCTATATCTTTTTCATTTAATTTCAAATTCATGTTATTTTTATATGAAATCATTAATGTCAAGTTTTTGACGATCGACGACTAACCAAGTAAAATTTATTTTATTTATCTTCCGAAATTACTACGTTGCCTTGATATACTGTCGTACTTTTTTAATCTTAAAATTTCTACCCTTTTGAGCAAGGAGGAAGGTAAATAAACCTACATTTACCATCCCCTCATACCTTAATTTTTCCTTTTATTTTACTTTTGAGCAAACGACAACAACAATAAAAACAACAACTAGTAATGCACCGTGTTTAAAAACGTTTATGTGATAGCAATAATTTTTTATCTGAATTTTTTCCGATTTTTACCTGGTGAAAATCAATAGCCATTTTGAAATCGTATGCGCGGAAAAATCGCCACGGGCTATGGTGAGTAATGACCGGAGTTGCACCAGTCTTTTGTATGTTTGGTAATGACTTCTGGCGCACGTTTTCTGAAAAGCCAAATTCAAATACCAATAGTTGCTGTTGACCGGAAGCCACGTATACTGGGCCGTTGAAAATCCTAAAAACAAACGTATACGTAACGGTTTCGATGTTAGCACGAGCATGTATCGAGTTTTACGGCAAAATTATAAAACAATATATCATTATTATATTCATGGTGTGATTTACAATTATTATAATACAGTCGACATTTTATTAGACGAGAGTTGGATTTCTTCTATAAATAATTACAAAATAATTACAACTATTCGTAAATGTCAATAAATCGACGAAGCCTGCATTTTCGGGGAATAATTTAAAATCATGCAAACACATGCAACAATGCAATTTTCTTCATTTTTGAGCTCTACTAACAATCGATAACATATTACATTATACTATTTAAGTATGGTTGAGTGCATACGATCATTTCATCTGTGTAGACCAGTGGTTTCCAACCGGTGTGCTGCGATTAATCTATAAATTGTTTTATGAATATTTATTTACCAGTTTATTATCGATATTCGATGAAAACTTATCAAACTAATCGTGGATACATATAATATTATTTATTGTAAATATGCCCGTCGCAGCCATCTCGATCGATCGACTGTGTTAATATATTTCACAATAAATAACTCTCAGAGTAGACTGTAAACAGTGTACATATGTATAAAATATAGTTCACATAATATATGGAATGGTGTGCCGCGAACATCTGGTTGGATATGAAGTGTGCCGCGTTGTTAAAAAGGTCGAAAACCACTGGTGTAGACGAATGAATATATGTAATACACGAACAAGTCACGAGAAATACATGTGACCACCGGCGCCGAAGATTATCAACGTGATATTAATATTTTGATTTTGTTTCGTCTCTAAATGTAATTGCATTAAATGTACCCATATTAAATATTAAATTTTAAACTACCTACTGATCGCATTATCATCTTGTCTATATACGTATATGTTTTGCATGGGAAACGTGCGGACGCGTATAACGTATGTAGAAAAACATTACCTATCGACTTACCGGCGTTATGTAAATCGTTCCATTGAAAAGGTGTCCTGAACGGGTCCCTGGAAGTCATCTCGTATTTGGCCATACCTCCAGACTTGCCCCAAGGATCCACCGTCTGATCCCATCGGACCGTGCCGTCGGCCATGCCAATCTCCTCACCATTGTACGTAATCGCTGTGCCCGGCAACAGCATTACCAGTGTGTTTATCGGGTCCACCATATCCTGACCGAACCGCGAAGCTACTCTTTTGTTATCGTGATTTCCCATCTGCAATGGGACGCGCGAGTGGTTAACTCGATGCTGTTGCAGTACATCGATACGTACAGTCGTTATAACATTCGGGTGACATTCTTTGCATTAAAATACATAAACGGGGCGTCGCCTATTACCGCTAAATTGCACAAAAAACGCATGGGACCTAACCGCTAACAGAATTTCAAATATTTGATAGCCCAAATCACTCATGATTATTATCGTGATTTATCGATAAATCGTAGTTATATAATATTATCCTAATTAAAATTGTACGACATATATAACAATCTGTTGAGGCTCCTTTATTAAGCATTATCGGTTAATACAATAAAGATATTGCATCTACTACGTACACATTTATTGTTAGGTACATTGGTAGTATTGTACTCGTAGTATGTTAGTAACGTTTTGACATCGATCATCGAACCACGTGACATAGTAAAATTAAACAGGTTTAAAGTTTTTATCTACAATTATGGGAATAGTTCAATAAATTATGAAAATTATAACTATCGTTATTTTGAACTAACCACAGTTCTGGAGATATTGTTTGGCGCTGTATACAAAAAAAAATGTTCAAGTTGTACGTATTATTTATATTTATTAAAATATGGGTATAAAACTAAATATATATATATATGTATTTTTTTTTAGATTGATGTTCTGTTAGATCAAAAAGTGGTTAATGAAACAAAAATGCATAAAATCATGTAAGTCGATAAAGCAGTTCAGTGAGAAAGTGATCGGGAATGAGTAGGAAATTTGGTAGATCAATATCTCGGTATTATTGACAGGCGTACTGACAGTAATGAAGTATATAGGAAAACAAGTGTAAATTTCAAACCAATATAATCTATATGTATATATATATATATATAAATGAAGCCAAAAATGTATAACATTTTATCAATTGAGAACGGCCCAGCCGATTTGGTTCAAATTTTTTTCAATTATTCGTAATTGTCAAGAGAAGGTTTTACGAAAAAAAAATGTTGGAAAACTGCTATTGTTTAATAAATCTTAGTTAAATTTAATGATTTTTGTTAATTTAATAATTTAAATTTATCGAACCGCGCAATTTAAAATGAATTATTAAATGAAACTATTAAAAAACTATTAGTTTTATTTTTAGTATTAAATGACGGGTATTGCATAAACATCAAACAACAAAATCCCGCAACAGGTGTTAAAACAAACAAGAATGTTAGTTCGAAGGATTATTATGCATATCGGTTGATGATATTAGACGCGATCAGGACTACGTTATTCTACGATGTCGTGAGCTTTGTCAACAATTCATGGTTGACATGTATGTAAAAATAGAGAGCGAACGATTTCGATACTTGTGATTCAATCAAAAAAAATCTGCGTGCGTAAGATTCTCAAAACAATTGTTAGATATCGGTGATGGGAAAGTTACTACAGATAAAATTACAGATGAAACGGGATGGATAAAATTACCGATCGATTTCTGCACAATCATTGATTCGCAAGATGCTCTCATTGACTAGATATTTCCCAATGTACATAAACAATACACAAATCATGAGTGGCTGGCAGAAAGAGCAATTTTAGCAACTGAAAGTTGGATCTCCGGTTATTTTACTTTGTAATTTGAACCCACCACGATTGTGCAACGGCACGCGATTAGTCATTAAAATATTAATGAAAAATGTTATCGAAGCCATCATTTTAAATGGCAAATTCCGAGGTGAAAATATATTATTACCGCGAATCCCTATTATACCCACAGATGTGCCAATACAATTTAAGCGCCTTCAATTTCCAATTAGATTAGTATTTGCAATGAATATCAATAAGTTTCCAAGCCAAACGATGACTATATGTGGCTTAGATTTGAGCACATAATGTTTTTCACATGGACAATTATACGTGGCGTGCTCTCAAACTATTTAGTATTATTTGATTAAATACTTTAATACTATTTTTGTGTGCGGAATTAGGCTATATGTTTTTATAAATCTGTGCGGTTATTCTTTTTATGTGTGGTATTGAATCGTGTTTGTGCAGTAATGGAAAGCGCACACAAACTTCACGGTCCAGCGCAACAACTATAATCAATAACTGCTTAATATTTACCCGAAAATGCGTTACATATTTGATTTTTGTCGAAACACATTGATACCGTTTCCTTTTTGCCGAGAAAATGCTCATTTAGTCGATTACACATGTCATCGAACACAGTACACCCGAATAACATATGATAACTCGTACGCGCCCAATCGAGCTTGTAATTGTAATTCAGACGTGCTCACCACCCAGTTGGCCCATTGACCACGAGGCATGTTGTCCAACCACAGGTGGATCACGTTTTTAATGTCTACCGCCGACGAAGTTTTGTTTAAGTATGTGATGAAGTTGAAATTGAACGGCATGTGAGCTCGGGGCGTCTCTTGGCTGTAATACATCATCGTATAGTTCACGTCCGCGTACGCTTCCACTAGCATTAGTCTGCAACCAACGCAATGCATATCGGATCAAACCTCGATAATCTCCCTCCGACCGTATATTGACGAAGTGTAAATGGTCTTGGAACTACACATATAATGACGTTATGTCATTGGCTTATTCAACATTAAAACAGTACATTATACCGCGGTTTACTGCCGCAGATATTTTGATAACAAAATAATTATTATTGAATTATACATTATACATAATTTAAAATTATTTCAAGTAAATTATCTAGTTAAATTGATTAAAATACGATGGAAAAGCGATTAAAATAAAATAATACAACCATTATCGTCCATCATATCAAATCATCCATGATAATATCACACTCCTTCACAAGCTCCTGCTGGAAACCTGTATATTCACAGCCGAAACCCAAGCCACTTATGAAGCATCCATATTAGCCAAGACGATCACCTCAAACCACATCCTAATTTTAAGCGACTCACTTAGTGTTTTACTTGCTCTTCAAAACCCACTACTTTAAAAGAAATTACCCAAAATATCCAAAAAAACATTAAAATCGTCCTCAAAAAATGTCGAACTTATGTGAGTTCCAACCAGCAACGAAATAGCTGACAAGTCGACTGACCTTGCAACAAGAATCATCCCCCAATCAATAATCTCTGACTTACCGACAAATGACATTAAATCGTTCATCAAAATATACGCTATATGGCAAAATTATTGGGATGCCATTCCTCGCACCAATAAACTTAGAACATTAAAGAAAAATACAAAAAAAAATAGATCCCACATTACAACCTCAATATACGACAGGAAGTTGCCATCAAAAGATGCAGAATCGGCCACTCATTTGCAACCCACTCGTTTCTCATCAGTAAAAACCCTCCACCCACTTGTAACGAATGCCACGCAGCATTTCAGTTCAACACATCATCCTCGATTGCACGAAGTACCGGAACATAGGGAACAACCTAGCAATACTACAGAATATGGAATACGTACTCAACGAAAAAAAATATCACTAAAATTATTAAAGTTTTAATTAAAATTCATCTCATAAACAAATTTTAACAATGTTAAATATTGTCCCATAGCCTTCAAGTCACAATATAATCATGTATTTTTTTTTCTTTACTTTTAATTTACGTTAGGCTAATAACTTGTATTGTTGAAGCCTCATTTCTAATAATAAAAAAAAAAAATAATAATAATACATTTTAGCTGAACTAATGACTTAAATATTTTATTAATTAAAATTCAACCGAACATATTGAGTTTAACAATAAAAACAATGATAAATCATTTATAGCAAGAATACAATTTGTGCAAAGTAAAAAATATATATAAATGTATTTATTAACATCAATTTGGTTAGATGTAGTAGTTGATAGAAATTATTTACTATATATTTGTTGTTAAGCTCAAGATTGATAGTTAAATGTCAATTATTAAAATATTTAAGTTAGTTATATTCGTTCAGCTGAAGTGTATTATTAATTAATACACTAGTCAATTTAGTGTTAAATTTATTTTAAATTTGAATTTGAATTGCTTTCACATCAAATTATAATCAGTTTAATGAAATAGTTTGTTTTAAATAATTTTAAATTTTATACGAAGTATAATTTGATTATTTTGCCATCGAAATGTCGGTGGCAGTAAAGCACTGTTACAAGCCATTTTGAATGGGCCAATGTGTTATTTCATGTGTAGTGCCGAGACCATCTATATTTTGTTAATAAGCTTTTCGGCCTAACAAGTAGTATTTTAATTGTTTTCAAATGCACATAACCGTTATTGACGACCATGTATTTATACTCTGTTAGGTTTTATACGCTATGGTTACGGTTACATTGAAACCGATTCTGATCCAATTGACCGACCAACCCGACCAACGATCGATTTGTACGTAACGGATCGAAACGAAATAAGAATACAGCTAATTAAAAAACTAATCGGTTAATTGTTTTCATCATGTAGTATCATCTACCTGGTGTTTCCGTCTCGGTCGGTGTACTCGTCTAATACCGCTCTGAATTCTTCGACGACTTTATACGTTGCCGGTTGGTCCCTAGAATAAATGTGATTGAGGTTGAAATACGTGTGATTGTCGTCAACGGTGACGCTGTCTAGTAACGGTTCGTCCCTGAATAAATTATCTTCGACTAAGTATGGCATCGCGTCAATGCGGAATCCATCGACACCCATGTCCAGCCAAAATCTCAGCACGTTCTACACCGGGACGTTAATATTATAGTGCGGACGGGCGATATTTTTTCAATAAGTTATCAATATAATATCACCTTCATTTCTTCCAGAAGAGCCGACGATTCGTAATTCAATTCCGGTTGCTTAGCCGTGAACTGATGCAAGTAGTACTGTCCTCTAACCGGAGACCACTCCCAAGCACTGCCGTCGAAAAAATTTCGCTTAAAAATATGACACACATATTTTAGTATGCTTAAAGTAGTTTGGACGGAAACTATAATCTAAATTATATTCTGGTGTCACGTTCGAAACACATGAGAAATTAATTTTAAGGAATAGATTACTGGATAAACGACATCAATGTTTAAGAGCATTTTACCGGGCGTCGTTCATAACCGCACACTTTCAAAAAAAGCTCGTCGTTTAAAACCGCTCACTTTTATATTTTAATCCCGCATATTTTCGCCCAAATTAAACCATTCAATACCACACATAAATGTATGTATATAACAATAATGAATACATTTATCAAAAATAACATTATTGTTCAATACCGAACACCGGTTAATAAAATTTAATCAAGATCACAAAATCATAAAAACAAAACTTCCGCGTGCTATACTTACACGTTTCTTATTTCATCAAATGAGATACGATTATGATTTTTATTTTCCAAATATTAGTACCTAATTAATCAACAATATTTAGTGTGATCGTTACTTTCGACTGCACGTACATTTATAGTAGGTAATTTAATATTCAGTTATTTAACATTAAAATTGCATAACAGATAACAAGATACAAGTATACACAAATAAAGGTACGCAATCAATACCAAAATTATTCATATCGACTTTTTCGTACAAATAAAAATTCCGGGGACTTAGTTTAGCGTTGCAATAATAACTTATATAGTGTTATGGCGACAAAAAATTAAAATATAAATGTATCCATCAGACAGAATAAAAGTAAACGTCATCATGGAACAAATGAAATTAACTCAGAGTTAAAAGAAATTTGATGTGCCGTTAAAAATAAATTGCAATTACATTTAAATGAAATAACTTAAATAATTTTAAGGCAAGAATTATGTATGTCTTCAGTGAGTACAGAATCTGCAGATAGTATTGATGCTATGAGACAGTCTATGTATCGTGTTAGACGAAAACATCTACCTCCTTTGTCTGTGACACTCTTAAATACTCTTAATAAGGTAAAGGAATCAAATATCACACTAAATAATGGTGAACAGTTTGTTTTTGTGAATGAGACCGCTCAAATAATTATAGTGACATGTAAAATAAATGTTCAAGTTTGAAAACATGTAATGAAATTTAATTTATATTAATGGAGTTAATACACAGTTTGGAAACCACTGATTTAGACTATGGTTAAAACTTTTTTTTTGGTATCCTTATTTACCATCACATATGATTTCTGAGGCGTTTATTGAGATAATGGGTCCAGAAGAAAAACAATATTATGATTTTGCTGATTACGTATTAGATAATTATATTGAAACCAATCATTTTTCACCAATATTGTGGGCAAAAGAGCCCAATAAAAATACAAGAACAAAAAATGGCACAGAAAGTTACCTTAGACATGAATTTTATGTTCCACATCCTAATATATTTCATTCGATAAGAATATGAATTTAAAATAATAAATATATTTTGAGTTATTATTAATTTATTTTCGTTTTTTCTTCTTCGTGTTAAAACAACAACAGACAGTTACTGAAACCAAATTTCGAAAAACAACGTGAATCGTACACGCAAAGTATGCAGGAACAAAGAAAAATCTATTTTAAAAGTATTAGATAATTTTTTTTACAACGAATTTGGCGTGATTTATTATTTAAAAATATTTATTACATTTACATTTATTATTTTTAAACTATTTTTTAATAACAACGAGATTATTATTAAATTATTTTTTTTAATAACAATAAAATATGTTTAATTTTTAACTGTCAATTAAATGTGTACGGTTTTGAATTATCGACCTTTTAATAATAGAATACATAATATGTATACATATTATGTGCGGTATTGAACGATGTAAAATGTGCGGTTATGAACGGTTAGTGTGTGGTTTTGGCGATCGCCGATTTTACTTACCCAATTGTTCGGAGGCATTCTATTGCCATTGCTGTCAAATTTTCCGTCCCTCCACACGTAATAGTCCGTGTATGGAGTGATCTTTTCTACTGACTTTTTAAACCACTCGTGTTCGTCACTCGAATGGTTGGGCACGAAGTCCAATAAAGTTCGTACACCTGAAACGATAGTATTTTATTACGTTGGTAGAGTAACTACACCAGTGATTCTCAAACTGTGGTACACGTACCACTTGGGGGTACTCACGATTTTTTAAAGGATACGAGTCTGGCCAACAAACCATTAAATTTAAATAATTTATGTGGAAAATGATTATTCAAATTGAATTTATGTTAAAAGTAAATATAGAAACAAACTAAATGTTGAAGATGATTTAAGGTTGTATTTAACTAAATTAGAATCTTATATTGAACAACTGTGCCAACAAAAACAAGCTCACCCTTCTCACTAATTTCATTGAAAATAAGCTCTTTTTGTTTTTAACGTTTTTCGTGTGTTAGTTTTTAATAAAATAAAAATGTATGTAAGTTTTTAATTTTTTTATATTTATTTTAGTTTACTAACTAAGAAGGGGACCCAAACAAGCTTATTGGTAAAAAGGGGTACTAATTATAGAAGTTTGAGAATCCCTGTTCTATACTCCATCATTTCTGTTTATACCTAATGACTTAAGTTTATTTAGAAGCGATACGAAATCGTCCATTGTTCCGTACGTGCTATCGATGTTTATAAAATCGGAAATGTCATATCCGAAATCGGCCATCGGAGATTTGAATATAGGTGATAACCATATGGCTCCAATGCCCGTTTCACTAAAATGTTCGGCCATCTCTTCTATACCTGAAAAATAAACATTCTAAAATTTATCTGTAGACCGAATAGTTGTTCACACGCGATAGTGGTCTTGACACATATTTATTTATTTGTCATTTCTTTTCAGCCGAAAACACATTTTTGTTTCTGTCTGAAAATCTTATTAGACTCTTATTAGAGTAGAAAAATATACATTTCTTCAATGGAATTGTTTTAAAGCATTCAAATGTCATATTTATGGTAATTTATGTATCGTTTGTTTTTATTCATTTTTCATACAAATCACATATGATAAATATAATTTAAAAAAGTATTATTTTTAACGTTCAATAACACTATGAAAACTAAAAATAATTACTGTAGCTGAAAGTGTAACTATAAAATTATACAGTTAATAAATGTATACAGTTGATACAAAACATTAAAATAAATATATAATATTATTTAATTTTATTAAAATCTAAACAAATAAAATAATACAATGGTCTGGTTAATCAAAATATCTATTGAATCTCAGTAAATGAGTCATCTCAAAATGTTGATCAGCTATTAAATTTCTTCTCTTATTCAATAATATTTAATGATATCATAGATTATGGAATGATTCTAATAATAATAGAGTACAATAATTATTAAGAATCATATAATCCAGTGATGGGCAACTCTAGTTACTAGAGGGCCAATTTTTAGAAAATTAAAATTTAGCGGGCCAAAGCATAGGAAAAAAAAAGTCATTCAAAATATAAATTTTAATTAGCATCTATATACACAAAGTTATACGTATATATACATATAACATTTAGACATTTAACAATGTTTAATACCAGATAACAATTATTATATCGATAAGATATCGTAAAAACAATACATTTTAAAATTATGTAATTTGAAAATATAGCATGCTTATACGCTTTATGCTGTTTTTATTTATTTATTTTTTTATCTGGTGCACGGCCAGATAAAAAAGGCTCACGGACTGCCAGTTGCAAACCCCTGATTTAGTCGATGATAATGTGTACCTATTTGTGTAATATAGATTTACAGCCACTTTTCATGATAATGGTAACCATTGTTGCCGCCCCACACTGTGGTAATTTAATCCACTAGTGGTACATGGTGTGGTATAATATAAAATGTATTTTTGTGGTATTTTTGAAAAAAATAAAAAAGTGGCATTAAAGAATTAAATTGCAATATTACACTGAAATCAGCAAATTTTTTTTTTTTTTTTTTGTTTAATTACCAACCCTGGTTATATAAAATATTCACAGACTTCAGCTGTTAACTGTTCTGTGATAATATTATAAATTATAATCATAATCATGATTAACATTACCAGTTATCACGCTCACATCATTCGTGGTGTAATCACAACTAGGTACTATCTATCATAGATATAATGACATAAGTATAATAAAAGCTGTGTCTATATTAAATATTTATATTTTATAATCCAAGTTGTGATAGTTTTCTTTTTATTCAAAATATAGTTTTAGTTTAAATATAACAAATTATTATTTGTTTTACTATATTGTTTGTTTATTCGTCATACAATTTATAATTTAAAATACATATTTTTAAATCAAGTAAACAAAAGTTAAACATGTAAAAACTGTATATACCTACCAGATAATGTAGGTAGTAATCATAAACTTATAAAAGTTCTATAAAAAAAAAATATAAATGTGGTAATAATGTAATATATTTAGTATAGGATATTAATACTCTGAAGCGAAACGAGCGCGTTATATTTCTAAATTCTAATATGGTATTCAGGCTAGTAATATTGATATGGTATATGTTGTTTTTGTGATAATTTTGTTATCATGAAATGGTAATATAACATTTTGAATTCGGCAACACTGACTATAATATTGGAACCCGAACCCAAACCTTTTAATAAAATAATTGGGAACCAGAACCAAAAAAAATTTAAGGTACCAGTTCCTGTCTGGTATAATACTCTTTCTAAAAATTATGACATTTGTCTTGTCATCGTTATATCATACAAGAATTTATCCTACAAAAATAAGCCGAATCTGTTACAATGCAGTTTATTACATAAAAAAAAATCATTTTCGATATTACTATAGGATATTGGCCAAAAAACATTCTAAATAAATACATTACACGTATCTCTTCATGGTATCTTGGATGCACATTAATTTATAATCAAATATATTGAAACATTTTCGAATTTTCGTGTGAACATCTAGCTGGAAAGCGAACATATTCAATCCGAACATTTCCAATCCCCGAAATATTCTCGCGAGGAGTATAGGAGCAGCAGCGACTTTCTATCACGTACGTAATAAATATCCGTAGGGGCACGTGTACAACTGACACATTAGGTCCAGCGTACTCGGCCATGCTTCATAATCACATCTAATCACTTACATTGAATTCCCTGGAATTTCTAAACCTTCAATCGTCTCAATTTTCTAGATCTCCTACGCACACACCAACAGCCTTCATATCAATTTACTACATTATTTTCCTCTCGTTTCATGACATGCCTAAAATATTCAGTCCGTTTTCTCTCTTCTTCTCTACTATAGACACTACACCAATTTTTCCTCTCACGTATTCGGTCCTTATCCCATCTTCTCTTGTCAACTTCACTCATTCAACTAAGCATTCTCATTTCTACAACTCTCATACTCTATTATATTATCCTGTTAACCACCCAACACTCTGGATCATATAGCATAGTTGGTCTCATTACACTCATGTACATTTTACTTTTCAGCCTCATTGGAATTATATTATATTATAAAAAAAACTCTTATTGCATAAAACGCCTGACGTTTCACTCCTTTTTATCCAACCACACGTAATCCTATGTTTTATCTCCATGCCAAAACCCCCTCACTATTGTATAAATGATCAATATATTTAAAGAATTTTTATAAATCTTGACTTCACCTATAACATCACCAATTATTGTTATTGGTCTTCTCATACCCTCATTTTCTTGGTATCTTCCTCCAAAATCATTCTGTATATACTCTGTTTTATTTCTACTAATTTTCAATCTCTTTCTTTTAAGGGCTGACCTCCACTCATCCAACCTATTATTAACTTTTTCCAGATTTCCTCCAATCAAAACCATATCATCAGTAAATATCCGTACACTATGGTACCTCACCCTGTATGTGTCTCGTAATTTTAATCATTACCACAAAGAATAAGTAAGGTCTTAGAGCCGTCCCCTGAAGCATACTCACTCCAACGTTAATATTTTCTGTTGCTCCACACAAACTTTTTACCCTAGTTCTCGAGTTTCCTTACTGATTTTAAAGCAAATCCATATATATTTTTGGGACCCCTTTTCTTATTAATGTAAAAGAATAATAATAGAAATGTATTATATTGAATAAAAAAAAAAAAAAAAGGTTAATGGTCTAATTTTGGTATAATACTTTTTTTTCAGCTTCAGAGTAACCAATATTCAATTCCAAAAGAATGAATACTCACGTGAATAAAATGAACAATATCATACAGACAAAAAAGTAAATCATTGTGTATTTATTGATAACTTAATTATGTTATAACAGTTAATCATTTGTAAACGGTGAACTTAATATCCTATGCCTTTTCACTTATAATTTTTTAATGTATATAAAATTTGATAATAAAAAGTATAAATAAAAATTGACCTTTTAAATCAATATTATATAGTAATTGCATAATTATAACTTTCATTCAATAATTTTTTAAATCTTCGTGTTTGTACTTAAATTTTTTTTTGCTTTTTGGACCATTTTTTTTCGAAAAGAATAACTAAACCCAACAAAAAAGGTTTAAATATTAATTTTCTTTTCTTTATAAAAGAATCTTTTAACTTTTTTCTTTACAATTATAATTTAATAGAATTCTGTTGTAATATTTATACAAGTTGTTAAAGTTAAATTAGCATAAGTATATAACTTAAATTATTAATTAAATATGCAACTAGTCGTGATACATGTTCCAAAAATGATAAGAATCTATCTCTGAATGAAAATACAATCGATATACAGAAAACTGATGAAAGCTATGTAAAACCTATAAGTAATGCAATGGCGTGTAAAGAAACAAAATCTAAAGTACATCAAAATCAAAAAGAACCAACTTTAGAAGATAGAATTTGGTATATATTATTATTAATATAACTCAATTAATTATAGTTTTATTATAAGTTATTTTTTTTGTAAAATAAAAACAAAATAATATATTTAAGAATAATTCATATAATACTAAGGGATATTTTTGATGGTTGTAATAATTTGTGTAGTATTAGAAATATGTTATTTATCTTAACTGTATAAGATTAATTAAATATGTTTTTATTTTTTTTTGGCTTAATCCGGACCTTGTTGGTTCATCGCCGCTTCTATTACACCTCTCCATACTTCACTGTTCTTCGCCAGTTGTTCTTTCTCTCGTATTCCCAGAAGTTTAAGGTCATCCCTGACTCGGTCAGACTATCGTTTTTTTGGTCTCCCTCTCGGTCGTTTCTTGTCTGTTTTCCATAATGTGATGATATGCTCTGTTTTGGCCTCCACTCTCCAAATGTGTCCAGCCCAGCTTATCCGTCTGATTTTAAGAATTCTTACTATGTTTGTTTCATTAAATATTGCCCTCAACTCTACATTAATTCTTCGCTCATACGTGTTTTTCTCGTTTCTTTCGAGCCCATAGATTCTACGTAATATTTTTCTTTCAAATAGTAGCAGTCTTTTTTGTCCGAATTTGTTGATACCCACACTCCAGAGGCATACAGGAGTAATAAGGTCTAATAAGCACTTTATATAATTTTAGTTTTATATTTCTAGATAGTAATCTCAACTTAAATAATAGTTCAAGTGCAATATAGCACTTATTTTCTACCGTAATTCTCTTGTTAATTTCTTCGTAGCATATTTATTAAATATGTATAACTCCAAAATTTACTTGCCTTCACCACCTGGATTCGTGGTTTTCCCGGGGACGGCACAGTAATTTATATACATAAAATTAATAGTAAATATACATAAATAAAAATA